TTCGTCTCATACTGAACAGTTTGAAGCTTCAATGTAGTAAACATAAATCGTTCAAATAGGTTACATCTGATTTTTAAATCTTACCCAGGAATATCGTAGTTAAGCGCTTTATTGACTGTTGTTGCAGCGCTTCTAGCAATTACAGCACTCTTGCCAGCTCCAGCCATACCAACGATGACTAGCGGGATTCCGCGATTCGTAGAGCAAATATAATCTTGGATCTAGCCGATAGTAATAAAGAATTAAGAGTAGGTGACCGGTAAGTTTGTGGAATGTGACACTTATTGTTGACACATGAAATCTTTCAAGCATTTTATTTTGGAGTATTATCAATATCATGCAAGCATTAAGACCACGTCGTTTTTGAACAGTAAGTAATCTAGCTGTACAGAAGACAAGGATTACTAATTAGTAGTTCTAGTAGAATGCAATTATCTTCTATACCTAGAGTAAAGAATATCACCCATGTGCAATAAAAACATGGTTACAAAGCATCAAATCAGTACTTAATCTTACTATCTCTATTACCAGAGATATATCTGTAAATTAAAATTACAAAATGGTATGTTTGTTATGTAAAGTATTAATGTAATACTCATGGAATTTACTACAAATATCTGAATTATTTATTGCCTTTTTAAGCTTTTATGTCAAATAATAATTATAGAACTGAGTTCTGGCTAGCTTGTATGTACCTGATCGAGCATTTCATCGCGACCTAACACTGATGATGAGCGAGTATTGAGGAAAGCCTGTAGAATAAAACCATAATGCAAGGATGATTACGATCTCACAACATTGTATGAAGAATAAATTTCCCAAAATACGACCGTTAAATTTGTCTATCAATAACTTATAACTAATAACAACGTAATGTCTATAGCCATATCCATAAATATTTATAAAACTATTACTAGTAAATTATGTAAGAAAGAACGATCGCCATTTTATCAGTAGGCCGGTATCGAATCTTAAAGATACAGAAATGAAGTAGACGAGATGGAAGTCATCGTTGATAAATTCTACTATCGATATCAACTATTACTATTGCTACGGTGAAGAAAGACCTGTATACGAATATTGTTAATGACTTAGGATTTTCCATGTAATTTATTATCATCAAATTAGTTTGCGTTGCTGGATAAGATTTTTAATCTAATTCATAGCTATTAAATATTGTATGCAGTTACACATATTAATACCTTTCGTGGATTAAATATTTCATTAGTAATATAGTAAATAGATAGATTACTGTCTTATCTAGTAAAGCAAATACATGTCTATTGTTTAGTAATATGTACTGCAAAAGGCTTATGTTTGATATATTTATTACTATAGAGCAACAGCGATCAGTGTTGTGCAATTAACATGTGCAACCGTAGGAAAGACTTGCTGCTTTAAACATTATAATCATATTTAATATTAGCATAACTACAGTCGATGCAACAGTAAATGAATGATCAGTCTAGATTAAGTAGCATTACACTGGCAGTTACCTCATGAGCTTCACGGATAACTTCTAACTGATCCATAGCAGAATCGTCTAAGGGATATTGATGGCTAATTCTAGCTTTGAAAAAGTCAATGACCTGCAATAGAACGTTGCAAAATCGATTATCGGTCAGTTTTAGAGTATTGACTATTTGCAATGGCTGACACTTAAAATCGGCAATAGGACGCAAGATATAGCATAGAATCACTTTAATAACTAATTATTGTAATATAATGTAAATAAGAAATATATGTACAGAATAATTCAGTGGATTAATTAATTAATCGTAAAAAATCTTGCTATTGCGAATAGAGTTTCAATCTTTACTGGATCATTCTATCGTTCATTCTCTTTCTACATACTTACCGCTCTGACAAAAGTTGATTCTGCTCCTAAACCTTTTGCACGAACTGTATCTGTTGTTTTATCAAGCCCATCAAATTCGCAAGCATAAGTTATCACACGCGATTCCTATATATAATAGTTTATAGACAGAGGCATAAAAAAACAATATTCGATTAGTAACCTATTAAGCCAATTAAGACGATTATTGTAAAGGGTAACATGATGAGAAAAGATAATCAGTTTGTGGGCTCATTCATAAAAATTGAATACTACACCATTATGTAACTAAAAGTCCTTAGTACTTTAAAATGAAATAATACTAAAAGCAATTTATTAAACAAAATTTTCGATCTACACTTATTCTAGCCTTTATTATTTTATCCGTTAAGTAGTGAAATGATTAGATGAAACATCCATCTGGGCACGAAAGAATAGAGATGGAAGATGGCAAACTATGAAATTGAACGATAAACGAGTATTTCAATTAACCATTCTCCCCTTGTAACGTATGGCAACGTACACTCGTTATGATTGCTTATTTATCTCAAATGCTCTAGCATTCATGTAACAGAAAGAACATTGGCAGAGAAAAGTATTTTAAAGATATCGATATTCAAGCCTAATAAAATTATGTTGGAAATAAATCTGATCTCAAGATGATGTAATCGAGCAGCTATCGGCATTTCCTATTATGGCCATTATATTGATAGTGACAACGGCTTCTTTCACTTCTACAGTATGTTGTAGCGAGCGTACAGCAGACAAGAAAGTTGAAAAGAAAAAGATTATAAACTATCGTTGTTCAAATTCGATGAAAGGATATCTCCAAACGATGAATTCAAATACGACGGATTTGAGAAAGAACGGAAGATGGTAAGAGTTAACGCTGATCGAGCGTACGATTGCCTACCCTTTCTACCCTAGTGATTATACAGTAATTACTACCTATTTACCATCGATGCTCTAGTAAGGGAAAAAAGAGACAACAAAGTGCAAGAAAAAGATTGTAAACGATTGCCTACCCTTTCTATGCTAGTGATTATGCAGTAATTACTACCTATTTACCATCGATGCTCTAGTAAGGGAAACAAGAGACAACAAAATGCAAGAATAAAGACTGTAAACTATTGTTGTTCAAGGTCCGATAAAATAACTTTACAAATGATTAGAATAAGAAAGGAGAGACCAATTAAGCAAGAGTGTCAACGATCAAGAGAATCGATGCTATAAGATGATGGAGAATTGGCAATCCTTTGGACCCTAGTCATTATGACTTCTCTATCTTCTACGCTCAAGCAAGTGGACACAACCGACAAGATCACTGAAAAGGTGGTGGGGGAATGATTAGAAACTATCGTTCTTCAAGCCGATATAACAATAGGGGACCAATAAATAGTCCCAACACGATGGAATACCAGATGGATCAGAATAATAATAATAATAAGGGAAAACGATCAAGTGGATCAGTAATCGAGTCAAGTTGATATCGGCCGCTAAAGCATTTGCAAATTGGGTAGATGATTCCAGCGGCCGCCATCATCATCATACTCTTTCTCCCCATGATGACCTCTGACTACTGCCACTTTCTACTCCAGTAAACGCCCATACAAGAAGAAAACTCAAGAGTAAACGATCTCTACTAAAGCCTGATCAAGTTAGTCTCCTATTCTACATTCAATTACATGAAGAACAGCTCCTCTTCTTCTTTGCTCTATGCAAATAGCTGCTTAGCAATGGTGTGGTTGCGCTCGGAGTCGAGAAGTCGAGCAGGTAGAGCTCTAAAGGCAGAGCAGCCCTAGCCTAGCAATTTCCTTCCGGGAAGCAAGCTTGAAAAACAAGGCTACGAAATGATAGTAACTGATATGCATTAGAGACTAGTATGATACATGGTACTCATGCAGTATTAGATGACAGTCGAGTCAATCATCAGCGGGTCACGCCAATCATGGCCTATAGTGTGTAGCAAACTATGCCTATTAATGCAGTCTTTTATAGCGAGAGGGGTGGGCAAGACGAGAATGTATGGATAAGACCTTCACACGTCACTCCTCCCCGTTGCTATGTTACCGCGGCAAGGGTCTATCATCAACACAAGGCCATCGGCTCTAGTACTAACCCCTTGGATAAGGGGTCTTCCAATCTCACTTAGGAAATGCCTACCATCGCTAATATGAGTAGCAAAACCCATTTGTAGTAGTAGCACCAGCAAGAACTTATTAACAAACAAGTATTTTGCTTTATAGACTAGGTATCATGGCAAAAAAAGAAAGAAAGGAGAATGAAGCAATCAAGATGCATTTTGTCATGAATCAAGCAAAGCTTTAATGATACGCTCGCTATTTTTCATGGACAAATTGTATCATTCTCTTGTAGTGCAATGCTTATAGTAATTGAATGCCTAGCCGAATTAGCAATCACTACTGTTGACGACTCGGTCGACATAGAATTAGGATTTATAGCATGATAGTTATAGTTGAGCTATATACGAATTAATGACACATTATCCAGCATCTTGACATTAAAACAGCAGTACAAAAATATTGTACAATAAAGATCTTAGGGGTAATTTGAATGATCAATATTAAGATTAGGTTAGCTTGCATGATTGACATTGTATTACGATACAAAAAATCAAGCAAATTGAAGAGCATAGATACTATCCTTGCAAGAAAACTAAGATACTTTATCATAAGATTTGACCTAGATCGATAATGCCAATCTACCATCATCAATGTCATGGGATGACAGAGTAGCATTGAATAGACTAGTCATATCATTGAATCAGTATCAATGTAGTAAAGTAATAGTAGCGAGCTAGCTACAAATTACATAAGTATTTCCATCAGACTGACTAACTTAGCCATATAAAATATCACTTGCAACCCGACGTTACAAAAGAATAATCGATAGATACAAGTAGTTGATGATCTTACCGGAAATCTTCCTTTGATACATCTCTTCAGTAATTCCATCTTATCCATTGTATCCGATGTAGTTTCTGAGAAATGTTCCTTCAATTTTTCGGGTAGTGATGATATGAACGAAGGATCACGAATTAAGAATAATGCTGCCATCAGCAATAATAAAAAACACATTAAGATATAGTCATTCTAAGGGTAGCTAAATAATATTTAATAATATAAAGTCACATTTATAGAACAACCGTTTGGGTTTGCTCGACGAAATGCACCATGAATAATTTCCATTTCTGTGATAGAAGTACCAAAAATCCAACCATATTCTCTCGCCAAGTATTGGGGTACATCAGATTTACCCGGAATCCAACCCGAGCGATGGCTATAAATTTAAATGACATGAATAATAAAAATCGATTATAGTTTTCTATTTCGGTCAATTGATATGCGTGTATATATAGCAATGACGTAAAAGTATGCACACAAAATAAGATAAATTATTGCTTATTCATTTCAAACATGACACAGTATCGAATAAGAAAAGATTGACAAGTAGTATTTTTATTAGTAGTGATGAGCATGATTATCGCTGTATCGATTTAGATTATTGCCATAATATAACCTGGAAAGATTCAGAAAAAAAGGCCACTGATTATCTTCATAGCAACGATCAATTTCACCAAGACAAATACGTAATGTTTCTTCAGACGTTGCCTCTTTAGGAACGCCCTAAATTTGATATCAAAAATTAAGTACTGTAGCAAATACTTCGGCACATCCAATAAATGAAATAATTATAAAGTCTAAGCGATCATAATTACAATACTCGCGTACGCTACTTAGAGATTGCAGAGTATACTCTATCATTAGATTTAGAAGTGTACTCTATTAAGACCGAAAATAATATCCTATTATGTATATTACTTATATCAGAACTGATATTTACGTATAATTATTACCCATCTTAAATCGCATTCGATTAAATGCAGCTTTAGCTTTTCACACCATATTCTTAATTCAGGAAAGACCTATCATCAAAATAATTATAACACACATATACTTAATTAAATAAATTTATAATTATGAATAGGCGCTCAATTTTACATGTCTATTGCTATATTACATCAGAGGTCATAGATATTATAATATTACTATTTCGTATTGATGGCATTACGCAAATTTTCCTCTAATATGAGCACTCATGCTTTACTGTATAGTCTCTCAAATGCATCCAAAATTATGTTCATCCCAAAAATAGTTTCAAGTAGATTAAGGGAAAGCATGCTTAAATGCAAGGTTGCATTCAAGTAAGATCGTTCTGTAATATGAACTACTATTAACCAATTCATAAGAACAATTTACAAGTTTTATGGCAATCTAATAATCTTTTGACTACCAGTTATATCTAAGATATTAGGATGTTTTATGCTGCAAAATATCGCATTGCTGCAACTACACTAAGGTTTTCTTAATAGTAACACACAATATCATTCAATCATAGCCCGAGTATAAAGTAATATTTATTATTATTAGTAATCGAAATACTACGTATTATACCATTAGAATTATATAATTTACCTGCTTAACAAGGACTTCTCTCTCTGCATGAAAATCTTTAAATGTAGAAGATACAAATAATCGAATTGTTTTCCATCCACGACGTTTAAGTGCTGGCATGACAGCATCTTCTGATGTAATCGATGTAGCTCTTACTGCGTCCCAACATTCCATCGCAGTATCCGGCTCTAGTTCACTTGCTTCTTCCAACGTTATTTCAGGCTTGGATGGCAATTCCTCCCATAATATAGTGAATGTTTCTATTGGACCAGATGATTTTTTAACTTTAGTACTAATTTTCTTTCTCGTTGAAGAGTTTGGACCCGCTGATGATGAATGCCCAGCATTATCATTTGATGCAGTTTGTGTGTTTGGCTTTGTATTATCAGTTGTTGTTTTTGCAACTTGGGGCGCATTATTTCCTCTTTGATTTACTACTTGCAAATTTCTGCTTGAGCTACATCCCATCCTTGAGATTAAAATTAATATCGTATGTAAAGGAAAAGTGAGGTTATAGATTTTAATCCAACAAGCTATCATGCTACTCTTTGTAATGTAGACATTACTGTCCTAAAATGGACGTAAGGTAAAATTGAATTGTAAATCAATCAGAACATGCTGGCAAACGTTATCGTATCGCAATTTTAAATTTATAGCAAAATAGATATCGTATTCTTATGATACTCGACTAAGAACTAGTATCCGTAAGAGACTATTGTAAAAATTAATCTTCTTTGACTTATAAAAACATTGTTTTTAATTGATAGAAATTTCAATAGTTATCGGAGATTAAAAGTACGGTAGTAGAGAACTGTAACGTTTAGGTTTTAAACTGTTAGAAACAACTTTCGAATTAATCATTAAAAAGATAAGATAATTCATTACATGTATATAGTGATTGAACTTATTGCCGCTATATATAATAAACCTAGGAAATTCTGTCTTTCTAGTCAATTTCCCTAGATGGAAATCACTGAACTATAACGTAGCTGAAGTTATCGATAAGATGTATTTCGTTTATTGAAGAGAAATACGCAAAAAACTGATTCAATCAATAAGTATATCAAGATGTAAATAACATTTACTATCTTACTTCCTTAGCTATAAAGGAAATTGCTTAGTTGGTTTCTAAGTATGTTCAATGATAGTTGTTGAGCTTCTCTTGCAAATGGTAGTAGTTAAAATCGACGGAGGTAACACTTAAAAGGGCGGTTGCAGCGGCATATTTAAATGATACTACTGTACTACGCTAAGCAGATACAATTATCGATTTAATACGAATCAACAACCTCCACTTTCTATTCTATTTCAATTTAACGCTAATAATATCGCCATTAAAGCTCTTATACTAGTGTTTCTGACGTAGAATGGTTGGCATGGCAATATGGCTATGAATAAACCGAGCGTGCGTAAAAATAACTAATATTTAGCATGGCATTTATGTTGGTCATCCATTTGCAGCATAGATTTCAAGCATTTTGATCACTAGATTACTTTAAAATATTCATATATATAGAAAACTATTATATATAAGTAAATCTCGATATTTCATATAACAAATGCCTTACTTTGCTTTCTTTTAAATAACATTAAGATATATCAGCCAATTTCCTCACCTATTTAAAAACGATATCAGAGATCTAAAACAGTATATGAAAGAAATATATCCAGGATATAACTATTTATAAGTAAAATATTAGCGAATAAATAGCATTTGGGTAAAGTTTTGAGCATAATGCGAATGCCCGAATTCAAAGATGAAATACTAGCGAATAGCACTGCCCTTAATACCATAAATTGATTACAAGTTATTTATGGTCATTTTTCTATTCATGATTTATTTGTCATTAATATTATTTTTAGTAGCTGTCAATATAGAAAAGTTTTATGGACAAGAATCATAATATTAATAATTAATTTTTTTTTGAAGTATTCTAAAGTATGTTGATTGCCATTACGATTAGTAAATAAAAAATTAACTTATTTTTAGTGGATATAAAAAATCCAATATTCCATAATTAAATTATCAGCATTAATTATCAGACAAAATAATCGACAACAAACTAGGAATAAGTTATTGTTAAGTATAACTGCAAAGTATTATGATGCATAATGTGCTCGTCGAAAATGACTTAGGGTTAGGGACACGTAGTGCAGCCCCAAATTATCATCAGATAAAATTAATAATGCCGGACGAAAATAGTTGAGATTAAATGTTTGATTGTAAGATTGTGATATTATGTGTTCTAAGATGAAATTAGCCGCATGTAACATGCATAGCCAATTATGTATAAATCGTAGATGGATGACTAAATTTAGATAACCCTTCGAGCAGTTGTATAAACCAAATTCTATATACTAAAGTGAAGCTTTGCAAGAGCTATTGTCTCATTCTGCAATAATTTGAAGAAATTGTATCACAGAATGATATCTACCAGAGTCTATGATCTGACGGGAATATTTCGGATATAAAGTATCACTGTGAATAAAGTACCGTACGGAAAAATTCGATGAAACCATCATAAATACTGAAATCGACTGGTTTTAAAGTATCTTTAATCCTGTAAAGTATCGTAGTGTATCATGTTCCTGATGACAAACTTGCACATAGTAATAAAATAATAAGATCTAGCATGCAAATATAAGTTTAATTTTTGAATTTTATATACTAAATAGGCTAGCTAAATAACAATTAATGATTTATTTAGCAATTCATTTAAGAGCAATCGATAGTCTATCTAGCAATATTATCGATTTGGCAAAGTACATTATTTGCAAAGTTGGATAATTTCAGTTAATGAATATTCCATATAAATTTATAATTAATCAATAAGTTGTTTCGTTAGCATTTAAAATTATAGTAGTTATATATATGTAACAAATTCAACATACCATTGCGTTTTAGCAAGTTATGCAAATAATTATAATTAGCACCTGCAAAAGAGCATATAGTTTATAATTTAAAAAAGTTATACAATCTAATACAGCCTTTGATGTACGTACGTCGGTACTAGGAATTACTCTATCATCTAAAAAAAATTACTGGATCATAGCAGATTGGCTCGATGCTTATTAGAATGGCCAGTCTTAGAGATTTTAGATATTGATGAATTTATTATCAAATATTACGTTCTTGGCACAAGGTAAATCCATAAGATTCCTTCCATTGCAGCTGCTTAAAAATTAAACTCGCATGAAATTTGACTGGTTAAAATTCAATTTAAGCCAGCAAATATGTCACTGTAGCTACGCGTTATAAGCTGGCATTAGAGGTAATGTTTTATCGAATGTTAATATGAAATAGCTATCTAATAAAAAGCGAAAAGTCACCCACTTTCTTTTAACCGAGCACTGTAAATATAATACAAAGAGATGGATCGATATATTTTCGATCTGTAATTTCATTTCTATATTCTTGGATAAAATTAAGAATTCAAGGCCAAAATTAATGTTATGGATTTGAAGTAAATTATGTATTATGTTCTCAGCGTTTAAAATAGTTTAATTATGTTACAAATAGATGCATTCCGCAGTCAAACAAATTTTTATTACCTTTTCCCTGTTTAACTAACTGCTGCATTATCTTCGCCGCAAAAGAAAAATTCTGCAAACATAGTGGTGATACATCAGTTTATTTCCGTAACACTTAACCGTAACCCTGTGCAAGTTGCCAGTTTTATAGCATACAATTATTTGCCTTAATGCTAACATATTATATCCGGCATAACTTTTAACTATTTTACTTTGTAGTAAAACAATATATAATTATGTAGACTGTGGTAATGCATAAATGGCGAAGATAGCAGATAGACCGAGAAAATACGTTACATGAAACATACCGTGATTTATTGTGGCTGGCTTGCTGCTATAAGCGTAAGAAGTTTTAATATGCATAATTGCAGTAAGACACTTCAACAATCAACGAATATTGGATTAAACACTAATAATTCATTCTAACAATAAGCTATTATAATACATAAATTCCGTCATACTATACTTTATATAGCATACAACGTGCGAGTATATTAAGATTACGTAGCATCAGCTAACTATTTTAGCCATGATCTAACCGGTTTATGTGAATCCTCAAGGTTGTATAGCAAAAATGAAGAGGATGAGCAACTGAACCTTTGTAACTAATCATGCAAAGCTTAAATTACAAGTTGCTCATTGACAAGCCGCATCATTTTCTTATCGTACAATGCCTATAGTAATTGAATGCCTAGCTGATTTATGAATCAGTGCTAACATTTCTGTTTAAGCAGAATCATAGCTTATCTTTAGAAAAGTAACATAAGTTGTATTGGACATAAATTAGTTATTAAACGCCTTGAGATCAGATAACGGTACAGCACTATCGTAAAATAAGGAGGTTCAAGTGATTTTATTGATCGACGTTTGTTTAGATTTACTTTCTGGTTAACACTGTATAACGATGACGTATGTGAAATCAAGCAAATAGACGAGCACAGATACTATACTTATAACATAACGAAGGTACCCAGGATACGTTATCGTAAGGTTTTACAAACAGTATATCAATAATATAAATCAGCCATGGTCAATTTAATTGACTGACAGAATAAGATCCGAAAGATTAGTCACATCATTTAATTAACATTAATCTAGTAGGGTAGTAGTAGCCAGCTGGCTAATAAATTCACAAGTATTTCAACCAGACTGAATTTACCGGATAAATATCACTTGCAATCCGACGTTGCAAAGGAATGATCGATAGATACAAATAGTTGTATATTCTTACCGGAAACCCTCCTTTGATACATCTCTTAGTAATTCCGTCTTATGCGTTGGGTCCAATGTAGTTTCTGATAAATCTTCCTTTGAATTTCAAGTAGTGATGATATAAATGAAGGATCTTGACTTGAGAATAATGCTGCAGTGAACAATAATGAAAAAAACTTTAAGATATAGTCATACTGCAGGTAAGTTGATGTACCGTAGTTGAATAATGACATGTAATAATACCGATATACCATCAGATAATTCCAACAACCGTTTAGGTTAACTTAAAGAAATACGCTACGAATAATTTCCATTTCTGTAATAGAAGTACCGAAAATCCGACTATATTCTCTTGCAAAGTATTCACTTACGATAACATCAACTGTAAGACTTGGTTACACCAGTAGTGTTAGCGTTAATGTGACTTAACATCACTTCTATACACCAAGATACAGTATTTGGATGCTTTATGCAGCTAAATATCTCATTACCGTAACATTGCGAAGCTTTTTACGACACAATTATCAAAGCTCTACTTTGATAGGGTGTATAAACAAATTTAATAGTACCATATCATGTCACTGAATCATAGCCCGATTGTAAAGCAATATTTATAGTTATTAGCGATCGAAATATTACGTATTCAATCAACAAAATAATACAATTCATCTGTTTAACAAGGACTTCTCTGTATCCGCATGAAAGTTTCAAGTGTAGATAACACAAACAATAGTAAATTGTTTTCCATCTACAACGTTCAAGCGCTAGTTTAAGACCATTTTCTGATGTAATCGATTTAACTCTGATTGCGTCTCAATATTCTATTCGAGTGTCAGGCTGTAGCTTATGTACTTCTTCTAAGGTTATATTAGGCTTGGATGGTAACTCTCCTCATAATATGCGTATAGTGAATATTTCTATTAGACCAGATGATTTTCTAACTTCAGAATTAACTTTCTTTCTCGCTGAAGAATTTATACTAGCTGATGATGAACACATAGTATTATCGCTTGATGAGGTTTGCGTGTTTGGCTAGTATTAACTATAATTATATAATTATCAGTCGTTGTTTTTGCAACTTGAGGTATATTATTTTCTGTTTGATTAACTACCGTATCTATTCTTAGAAGGAATTGGCGGCACGTATTGTGACCTATTGGGTATAAATCATGAATGATTATAGGCGACAGCTCTTCATAGAGTTAGATAAACCAAAGTCTAAATAAGTAAAAGCGAATCTTTTATGAGCACTGCTAGCTCATTTTTAAATATATTCAAGACATTCTATTACAAATCGATTTCTGTAAAATGCTATGATCTAATAGGAATATTTCGGATATGTTGCTGTAAATCAAGTACAGAAGAAGTCGATAAAACTATCATAAATACTAGAATCGGCTTGCACTAAAGTATTTTCAATCCTTAAATTATTGTATTACGTTAAGTTTCTGATGACAGATCGACACATAGTAATAAAATGATAAATTGGGCATACAAATGTAACTTTAATTTTGAACTTCACTTACTAAAAAGGTTAGCTAAATAACAATTAATGGTTTATTCGACAATTAATTCAAGAGCGATATCGAATTGACAATGTATAATTTCAGCAAATGCTGGATAATTTATGTTAATAAATATTCCATAGGAATTTACAATTAATTGATGTTATTAGGTTAGCATTTACAAGTAATTATGTACGTAAGAAATTTAACTTATCAATACGTCTTTGCAAGTTATGCTAATATTTAGCTTCTACAAAAAAGCATGTAGTTCACAATTTAAAAAATTGAATTGAATCATGTAGTTTCAAGGAGCTAGTTTTACAGAATAATGGCACTTTATAGGTGAATAACATATTGAATAAAACAATTTCGAAGATGCTTGATATAAATAACCATATGGTATTAACTCAAAATGATAGTAAATTGTATTACAGTAAATAGTATATTATTGATAACGACCGTAACTGCAAATACTATAGTTAGTATTTATGTCACCGTCCTATCAGTTAGACTTAAATCAAAATAGCTACAAGCTGCTATCATAATACAATAGAATTAATCAAAAAATTCACTGTCTGCTAGTAACGGATTTATAGAAAGTAAACAAGAACTGGTAGCAATGATTAAACAGCTAATTAGATTATTCCAATCTAAAATCCAAATAAAGATCAATAAAACCAATCGTATGGTTATCTACTACTCTATATAAACTGTCATCCTTGATTTTTGACAACATAATATAGCATTGTCAGCTAGAAATTAATGAATGAAAGTTCATATTGCGTAACGCAAGGTATGAAAAAAATGCATGGCATTATGCGTCTTGCTCTTGCTGCAATTCCAAACGTTCAGCAATGATTCGAAATGCGGGCTCATCAAGAACCGCTTTAACACGTAATGTAGATGGATGTGTTGCTCCAACAATCTATGGAAGCAATAAAAGCCTCTGAGTATAAGAGCTCTGTATCTTAAAAAACAGCGGTTAAAATGCCATCATTCGTCAAAATTTTTTAAAACTTAGTTGCAATTACAGTTCAAACTATTTATATAATAAATATCTTTTAGTATACCTCACAGCCTATGTTGTAAGATCTCAAATAATATTGATATGATTCCTCTTTATCTTCGTATTCAATAGCGATTCCCATATTAAATACTATTCTGGATGTTAATTTATGATTTTCGCCATAAGCTTGGAGACATAAATCAAGTGCTTTACGGTATAGCTAAAATATAACGATGTAGTGTTGATTAGATTCTAGCTATTAGTACGCGTATAATAGACAGTAATGTTATTTCAACTGGTACTAAAAAAAGCTGTACTACTCCATTAAAATATGATATTAGCAGGAGTATAGGGTCGGCTAATAGCTAATATTTTGCATAACTAAAACCTCAAAGAAAACTATTCAATAAAAGTAAAACAAGAATAAATTACCTTCATTTGTAAATCGATTCTATTTTGACTGACAAAAGCAGCCATGTTTTGGTATGCTTCTGCTAAATGCCCCACGTCTCCTAACTTTTGCAACAATTTCAGTAGTAAATACTTGTGGTTCATCAACGTGAAAATGGAAATATAACTTTCCAACTCTAAATAATATTGCTAAGCTAACCTGCTGAAATAGCTGTATAGCATTGTTGCAGTGCATTTCGCATTTTTTAATACCGTCCTTAGCGGTAAGACCTTCATATGTTATACGCGCTTGACTAAACGCGCCATAGTGAAACGATACTAGAAGCTCTAGTAAGCCTAAATGATACTATATAGTAATAAGAAATATAGATTATTAATAATTTAGACAAGAAAAAAAGAGGATAATCTATTGCAACATCCTAGCAGTATAAATAAATTGGCATCTTAAAGCTATTCCTGTAAACGCAAATATTGCGATATTGAAATGAAATAACGCTACTAAAAATAATGTGTAGGTAAATATAAAAGTATTAAACGCAATCGATTCTGATATCCTTACAACAGACATTGGTCAATACCGAAATCAATTTTGATATTAATCAGGACACATCCTGAATTATTATTAATTAATAACATGTACTATTTTTGGTCCAAAAATCATTTTGCTGACCTTATTATCATCACCGGTGAGATTTTTACGAAATGAAATTGCTTTTAAGCCGGTCTGCACTATTCGATAATGTTCTCTCCCTCCTGCAGCGGTTATAAATTCAGCTAACTTTTTTTTCTAGGGAAATCAAATAAAATAAATTAATAAACAATTTTACTTTTATGCTTGCGTTGAACTTAAGGCCAAGAGGGTTGTCAGAAAAATCTCTTGCAGTCCACGATGAATCAGACAGTACCTCGCTTAAAATATCAGTTAGTAATTCGAATTGATTGGCTAATTTTTCTTTTCTTGCACCAAGAAAATTTTCTTCCATATCAATTGCTTCCATGATTAATTTTTCCGCTTCCGTATGCTGTCCGGCACGACATCTGAATGAAAATATTTCCAAAGCATTAAGTGAACTATAATTAAGTTTACTGTTAAAGTAACAACGCGTGATTGAATCTAAAGCCTTACAGAAAGCGAGATACTAGCCATTTCTTGTCGGCAATTTCGTTATCTGTTGCATGCGTTGCTAACTGCTCTAATGCTTGGACGTATAATGTTGAGGCGGTTACATAACCACCAGCCTAATAAGAAATGAAAATACTTTGACACTGTACTAATGGAATTGTGTAAATATTTTTTGCAATATATTAAACAAATTATTGTAACTTAAATGTATTCAACCTTGCGCCATGATCTCAACAATTCAATGTTGTGTTCGTCAGCAGATAGTTTCTCGAATACAGGCCACTCCAGTAAACAGCGTGCTAAACGACTATGATCCAGCAACTTCTCCAAATGATATGGTAATTCCTGTTGATAAACATCCATTTTATTAGTACAGGGCACTGGATTATCAAATTTCTATTATTATAGTAGAATAATTTCATTTTTGGTTATCACTTCTCACATGGATTTAAATAAATATTAGGGAAGAAACATACGAGAAATACTTGGTACGATGATATACCTCAGCTTTGCGATCCTGATTTTCGACTTGTTCAAAATATTCTGCTAATTTTCCATGCCAGTAGGTGTATAAATATTGTCGATAATCATCAGAACCAACTTTAAAGTATCTAAATACATAAAGATAAGACAATATAGTATCACCGACTAGAAAAGACATGGAAGGATTGATGAGATATATCAACATTTACATTTACATAAATTAGATAAAATATAACCATCAACAATTTTTGCAGGCAGCGTAATACATCTTACTGTATTCAGATAGAAAAATATACTAACTTTCTTCTCACGGCTTTACTCATTGCTCGATGATAGAAATCTAGTCTTCCTTCACCGCTGTCTCCGCAAGGTCGAAGAAACGGTTTCAAAGATCGAAATACTACAGCCCATTTTGCGGCAGGTAAAGGTTGCCGCTGTTTTTTAGAAGATTTGCTGGTATCCTTATCTTAAGTTGGGTAAAATGTCGGTTGAAGAACATAGTAAAATATTGCGGCACATTAGGATGACTTAAAAGAGGTGAAAAGCAACATTACTTAAATTTTTATACCTTTATCGGTATCTTCAACATCGACTGTTTCATCAAAGTCCGTCTTACGGTATGTTTCTTCTACGGTAACATGCAGACGTTTTGATAAATCATTCGCTAAGCCAGTATCAACGTCTTCCTTTGTATTCAAGGTATTCGTTTCACGGTCTTTACTAAGATACTGTTCTTCAGTTTCTGGTTTTAATGTCTCATCTTCTCCTAACAATTCTAATAACTCTCTTTCCAGCAATCCATGGCGTGAACATTCAAGAAAGCATAATGTTGCTACCATCAAATGACCACCACTTTCTTCCTCAAATCGAGTGAGAACTTGCTCTAATAATCTGCGAATAATATGAAAATCTCGATTTCGTAATGCAATTAAGTTGAAAAAGTCTTTAATATCCATTTATTCTAATGATAATGATGGAAATACGTATATCTATACTTAAACAAGACTCTTCTTCCTATGAACTTACTCTAGTAAACCGTCGGCAAGCCCTTTAATCATTTCCGTTACTTTACTAAACAAACCAAAGACTCGTAATTCCTCACAGGCAATCGATAACCATAACGGATTAGCTGATGCTTCTTTAGCTAGCAATAAATCCATTTGCGTAGTATCTAATCTCTTGTTAAATTTGGTTAAAACTTGATCTACAATTTCCTAATTTGTTTGAAATGAGAATATAAATAAGTGCTAAAGCAAGCCTATCGCATTCTCTTAAGACTTATCAAAATTTCTTAGGAATTATTCATTCTAGCTAAAATGTGAACGGATGAATATTAAGGGAGATATACCCGTCTACTATCCGTGTCTAAAGGACCGCATAAAATTTCTTTTGGGTGGTTCGATCGGCTTGCTAAACTTCGATGACAAGGAGTATCATTGATGACAGAGCATACAATTCTAACATTATCTGATAGTACAAGCGGCAACCAAATAACTTGTTCAGCCTCTTTTGTCTTATCAAGCTGTTAATGATAAATTGCAAAATAATACATATAACCTACATTATTGATAGTATAAAATTGATAAATTTTTCTTATGCTAAATCGTAAACTTTAACTTCTTCTATCCTATTTTGCTATTACTCACCTGATTTAAAGCATCAAAAAATAAAATAGTCGGTTCTAGATTTTTACTGCTTAATACGGTATTGGATAAGCGAACTAAAGATTCTGTATCCGCTGGTATTTCACCCTGCGATACGGGTAGAAGAAAATCATGAATATTGTTAGAAAACTGCTATTAAATTAAGATTAGATTGCAATGATTAGGAGGGTATAAGGTACTTCTTTGCAGAAATCGGATAACTTCAGTTTTTCTATTTCTCATTCTATCATTTTGCACCAATTCTGCTTAAAAAATGCCTGAAACAAATAAAACTTACCACATATTTCAATTCTTTCAACATTCGTTGTAGCATGAAACCAAGGTCGGTAGATCCGGGAGCAGCACCAATAAAGTGATAGAAAACATTCCAGCCTTTATTGCTACCTCTTCATGCATAGAAAGAATGCAGAATCAAATATTAGCCTAGGTTGGCAGTGGAGTGTTGTAAGTATTCGATTTTTATGGCTACTCAAGAAGATAGACAGACTAGACTTAATGCAATGAATAGATGGATTACAGAAATTATAAGATTATAAGAAAGTAAAGTAATCGTGTAAATAACTGAAAAGAGGGTAGATTGTATAAGTATAAGCATAATATACTATAGGAAAAAATAAAATACTCTAGTATTAAATTAGTTACAGCATTGCAGAAATTATATCATCGTAATAGCTTAGCCTGATCGATATCATACTTATTAGCTTAAATCAATAAGGAATTTATATTTTTCTTGCAATTTAAAATTTGAAAACAGAATTTTAAGCGATATTGAAGGAATAGATTTTTGCATATTACCTTGGAATATCGTGATTAAGAGCTTTATTGACAGTTGTAGCAGCACTCCTAGCAATTACAGCGCTCTTGCCAGCTCCAGCAACACCAACAATGACCAAAGGAACTCCACTACTCCTAGAACAGATATAATCTTGGATCTAATTGGTATAAAGAACATAGAATGAATAGCATGTATATAGCAATGATATTTAATGCATTTTCAATACGGATTTTCTACTTTCTAAGATCTCCAGTACTACTGCATGATCTTATCCTGCTATTTTGCATAATACGACCATAAAGAGTTGAGAAAAACACTTCAAATTGTCTCAGTTTTATTATACATTACTTTAAGAAGGTATAATGTGCTAAAAAACACATATTTGAATTCTTTCAAAGAGTCTTACAATTCTTAGAAATACTCACTACTAGATAATAAACCATAAATGTACAAGCTATCGAGCACTGAAATTAAAATATCGTTTCGTTACTTATTCTACATCCTGTGAGATATTGTCATCACCTGATCAAGCATTTCATCCCGACCCAATACTGTCGATGAACGACTATTAAGGAATGACTGTAACAACGGCCAAAAAATAAAGATGATTAAAATATCATTAAGCAAAGTTGCTTCGTAAAAATAAATTAATCCTATCTTTTTTCCAAGCCATTACCTCGTGTGATTCTCGTAAAAGTTCTAACGGATCCATAGCAGAATTATCTAATGGATACTGATGACCAATTCGAGCCTTGAAAAAGTCAATAACCTGAAATAATTTTTTTGTGACAGAAAAGTTACCTAATTTGTACACCATGTGCAATATCACTAATAATGATGATTAATGAATCGCAGCAAGACTCGTTTAATCATTTGGATTATGCCTTAGGAATAAGTTTTAAAGCGTTTTATTACGGTACAAAATTTTGTCCGATTATTTATGCTCTTTTATTTCATTTCTAGAATACTGTAGAATGATGGTATAACAATGCAGTAATATGATTTCATAATAACGCAATCTATGTAGATAAGAGACAAGTAGCTGTTACAAACTCACCGTTTTAACAAAGGTAGAATCTGCTCCTAAACCTTTTACACGAACCGTTTCTGTGGTCTTGTCAATTCCTTCAAATTCGCACGCGTAAGTAACAGCACGCGATTCCTAAAATTGGAAGCATCACGTATAGCTTAAATTCAAAGAATAACATCGCTAGCTAACATATCAATCAATCAATATTCTAGAGATAGTACAATGCGGGTAGCAGATTGTCTCAACAAAATAAATAAATAGTAGTACCTTTTAGTAAGTATCAAAACTCAACATAAACGCAATCTAAAGAAGTATTATTATTTATCATGCAGTTCGCCATTTACTCCCTTTTTGATTAGTAAAACATTTTCTAAAATCGGAAGCGTTGTAATCACTACAAGTATGCTATATACATAGACAGAACCTGAGTGAAAACAAGATTGTATAAGCAGCGCATTTAGGATATCAGTTATTTATCTTGCTAGTCGATCAGTATCTAAGTTTATCTAATGGCTGTAGCCTTGAAATTGAAGAACATTCAGGCGCGGAAGCTAGTTCAATTCACTCACTGGTTTGTTATAATTTTATACCTTCTCATTATAATTGTCAGCAAACTCATTCCATCTTATATATTATTCTTTATACCTAATGCCCAAGCGCCTAAACTCGGGATCAATATTAATTAATACAACTTGTCCGCCTTCAACTATCAACTACTTACTATAAGTAAATCAGTTTCTCATTGCAGTATACAATTATTAAAATCGATCGTTCGCACAAATGTAATTTTTAGTGAAAGGTACCATTCTATCATTCTCTGATCCTTATTGAAGCGATGAAAGAAATATATTGCGTAACCAATGCTATTATCGATGGAAATATAAACACGGATACACCAAAGGTTCAACTCTTTCTCATCTCCCGTAAATATCCTACTCTAAAACTACCATGGATCGCTTAAATATCTAAAAGTAAAGCTAATAAAAATTCTCGTACTAAATCGGCTGACTAATTCCTCTAAAGCTTCTGCACCTTTCAATTACATACGTGGGGGTCAAAAAATAAAAAGAAGTTTAAGTATTTCATCGTCGTTTCACCATATTACATCAGGAATACAAAAACAAAGTGGCCACCAAAAAATGTCAACCGTAAATAATAAGATCGTCCACGATAACATTAATCAACCCATTAAATATATGATTCAAAATATCTCACCAACGGCTAGGATATGTCTGCAACAGTATAGATAGAAGAAAACCTCAAGAAATGCTGTTATTACGTTGATTCCCCTATACCAAATATATTTTCGAATTATAATAAATCGCTTGTTCTTGTCTTTGGCTTAGTATATGAGCCACGTTAAATACAAAATAACTTATCGTCGATCGGTTATAGCATTTGTATGAAGCGGATAGTGTCGTTATCGTAGTAGAGTATGTAGTTAACAGCATCGGGTCGCTAAACACTGCTTCGAAATCAAGTCTTTCTATCAGGGTTTCCTGGTGATCAGCGTTGGCTATGATGAATAAGCGCGTTGCTATGTTACCGTATTGTAGACTGTACAGAAATATTTCAATTCCTATTTGTGATCTTAGAATTCTTTCCTCATGCAAAAGTATGGAATACGAAAGTTTAAGATCTTATTTAAGGACTACAGTAGATAGAGTCAATGGTAGAACTTGAGAAACCGTACTGGATACTACACGAATATGTTTCAGTCGCTCTTCTGATCTTGTCATTCTTTTTCTACATTCTATGATATCCAAAATTTAAAATCCCATGGAAGGGCTAGCTTGAGTCACTACTAGTATTGAAGAAATCAAGCTAGTAATACACTTAATCCTAATTAATTAACCTTAAACTGGTTACCATACTGTATGATTAGCGAAATTTGCTAGATTGCCCCATTGCAGATGGTACGGAAATATTTCAATCACTCTTTTGATCTTATTTTATTCTTTCTAAATGCTGTAATGTCCAAAGTTTAAGATCTCATTTAAGAGCTAGGTACAGCCATCGGTAGTACTTAGGAAATCGAATAATACGGTAGCATGAAGGCTAGTGCTAATTCTAATTTTTTGCGCTAGCCGAATTTGCAAAGTTTTCTATCGATTGCGTCCTATGATAGTTATCATGTAATGCACTGTTAACATCGAAATTGCTTTGGGATTGTATTGTTAATTGCACAATATATTATTGGTAATTCAAAATTAGATTATCCCATTCATTATTTGTAGCTATTTGCATTCGTCTATCGTACATTAATCTATAAAGTAACAAAAATATCGAGTTGCGCCTTAATGATTGATTACGTTTAAAGTTGCAATATAGAACACATATATGTTACGGCCAAAATCTGAAATTCGTTCAATGCGCGTAACGACCAAAATGGGTTGGCCAATACGCGAAATTACCTTCGCAGCTCAAGTAGTATGTGCATATTTTGTAAACTGTAGTTTATCTTTGCAACATATATCTATGAGTGTCAGATGGCTTCATCAATTTAATCGTAAACTAGTACATCGTATGCAGCTATCTATAGATCAAGTACGTTAATTCCGGCAATCTTAACTGAAAGAAATGCTGTAACTGTTGTAGTAACATTATAAATGAATGAATGAACGATCACAGTCCATTCTATCTAGGTTTGTGGTCTTACCGGAAACCTTCCTTTGATGCACTTCTTCAGTAATTCCATCTTCTCAACTGTATCCGCTCTAGACTCTGAGAAATCTTCCTTTAATTTATCAGGCAGTGACGATATGAATGAAGGATCACGAATTAAGAATAATGCTACAAAGTAAATTGCATGAAGTGAAAACGCATTAAGACATTGTTAACTAGCAACCTAATGTTGTCGATAGACGAGTTTAATAATAATTTTGTGTCATCATATTAGCGTAATAACCATTTGGGTTTGCTCGACGAAAAGCACCGTGAATAATTTCCATTTCTGTAATAGAAGTTCCAAAAATCCAACCATACTCTCTTGCTAGATATTGGGGTACATCAGATTTACCAGGTATCCAACCTGAACGATGGCTATGGTTTAAATAGTAGAGATAGAAACCAATCATAACGTCAGTAGTAGTTTAAGCTTCAAAGCTCCTATAAAATTCTGCTAGCAAAGCTGTAGGATACCTAATTGATTCTAAAGATATACTACTAATGTAATTAATCTATTTAGTCTCTTAAGGTAAAATAGCAAAAACTTCTATGAGTACTATTCATGAGCTATAGCTACAGACTAGAAGAAATTGCTCTGAGAAAATTAAAAACTGAAGATCGTTTTATTACACAATTTAAATTGTTATGAAATTCAACCTGGAAAGATTTAGAAAAAATGGCCATTGATTGTCTTCATAACAGCGATCAATTTCACCTAGACAAATTCGAAGGGTTTCTTCAGATGTCGCTTCTTTAGGAACACCCTAAATTTAAATAGTGGTTTATATTTATAACGATTATATAAGAAAAAATGGCTATTTTCCACTAATATTAGAAGATATTAAAGTCGCTCTATAAATAAGTACTGATACAAATAGAAAACATATTTATGTCTCGTACTATTATTCTAAGAAACAAATTCTATTTTGTCTTATTTCGAGAACGAAATAATGGGGCACTAATGCTATATTTTATTTTCAATGCAGGGCTAACATTCACAAATAAATAGTACCCAGCGTAAATCGCATTCGATTAAATGTAATTTCAGCTTTTCACACCAAAGTCTCAGTTCAGGAAAAACCTATGGTTAAAGTGGTTAGTTATTTATACGATTAAATAAATTAATTATTAAAAGTTTTCATCGCTATGAAAGTTATATCTAAATACCCCCTATAATTATATGAATGGTAAAGGCATTACGAGTATACTATCACATACTGCAGTCTGCTGTCAGATTGCATTTAATAATTTTTTTAAATAGTTTTAAATTTCAAGATTTCTTCTATAGTAAAAGTAGAACCGTAATTTTATCTGGCTATCGCATATCGTAATTATTCTAATGGATGACGTTTATATTTAATGTGTTGGATTATGTCTGCATTTACGGTATTTCATATAGATAGAAGTCTTACTATTTGCTAATTGTTCAAAACTTTATTATGAAATTAGTATATAATGGTATTTTGACGTCTACGAAGTATGTTACATCACCTGCTTAACAAGAACTTCCCTCTCCGCATGAAAATCTTTAAACGTCGACGATACAAATAATCGAATTGTTTTCCATCCGCGACGTTTTAATGCTGGTCGAACATTTTCTTTCGAAGTTACCGATGTGGCTCTAACTGCGTCCCAACATTCCATTGCATTCTCTAGCTCCAGCTCACTTACTTCTTCCAGGGTTATTTCAGGCTTTGGAGGTAATTCCTCCCATAATATAGTGAATGTTTCAATTGGTCCAGAATTCTTTTTAACTTTAGTACTAATCTTTTTTTTTCCTGAAGGATTACTCTGGGTTGATGATGCAGTAGCGGTAGGCTCGGTTGGCGATGCTTGTGTTTTTTGTTTCTTATTGACAGCATTTGCGGCTTTTGGCGCATTATTTTCTGCTTGATCGACTACTTGCAAATTTCTACTTGAAGCACAACCCATTCTTGAGAATAAATTAAAAATGCGAAGGATAGATGTAGTTAGGAATAAGATTTAAGCCAAGATAGTGCTATGCTATGTCAATGGTTTATAAGCATACCACTGCTGCGGGTCATTAAAGTGTTGCGAAACAGTATCAAACAGTTCAGAATAGCAAGAATATTATTTGGAAGCCATATTTAGATAAATTTCCCCGCTCTTGAAAAATTGTTACACTTCTAGCGGGCCGTGATTCTTAACTAAAATTATATTGACGCAATGATAAACTATGACACCTACGAGCATTAAATATACAGTAGCAAATAACATTAGCTTCTAACACTGGATCTATGCGTAGTTAATCTGCATCTTCATTTTAACTGTTGAACAGACTAAAGACTAATTAAACTTGAAGTTAAAAGAAAATAGAAGTAGTCGTAGCTTTAAATCAGCAATCATGGACAAATACAATAGTTTTGATTACATTGTTACTAATACTGCCAACGTGAAATTAATTTAAATTTAACATTTAAAATATTGACAAATTATTTGCATCTTTTACTAATCAAAATATTCTGATCCATATCTTGCGTAGATTACTCTTATTACTAAAACAAGTAAATATCTTAACTATTTAAGTTATAGGTTGCAAGTAAATCACGTTCAATTATAAGTTCTTAAACACCATAATCATTTCGGACCACAGTGTTGTAAAACAGTAACTTTGCCTCCGTCATTAGATATTACAAGATGCAAATAATAGCGTATTTACTTACTTGTATAGCGATCGATTCAATGAATTACAAGATGTATAAGTGTGATGGCAGACAATTGTTTAATCAAACTCCTACTGTACTGAATGCTTAAAATGGTGATAGAAATAAATTCTTGAAATAAGAATCTCGCTGAATCGTATAAATGATAATGCAAGCGTGATTAAGCCAGTCAACTATAAGCGTAAACTTTTAACTATAAATAGATAGTCTATACTATTATTTTGTTCCATTTTATTGCTACTAAAACTCTGTACGATTAGTACTAAGGATTGGGATTATGATATCCTTGACGTAGAATGGTTGGCATGGCAATGAGGCCATAAAACACATTGAGCATGCGTATTAATTTCGATTGTTTATCTTCCACCTTCAAATTTCTGGTATGTCAACTTGTATTTGCCTAAAATCTCACATTTTATTAAGAAATGAAGCTAACTGGCAAAGATTATCATATCAGAATCTAAAATAGTAAATTAATTCGGAGTTTTTCACCATTTTAATTTTAGTATCATCATTGCTAGACTTAATCAGCAAGATTGGTTCCAGTTACAAATTCCTACTATATTCTTACTTTAAGCTAATCGAATTATAAAATACTTTGCAACAGTTATGATATTTAACCAGCAGATAGATGCATTACTTAATTAGGATATTTTATGTGAATTAGCATGGAATTTGACCATGCTACTGTGAATATTATTTTAATGTTAGCAGTTGAAAACGAAGCTTGAATAACGTATTATATTAAAATGTTGAATAATTCAAAACATCTGACTAATATAAATTATGTAACTAATACGAAGGTTATCTGCATCTTGCAAGGATCTGAGAAGAATTAATAATATTTATATGAATTATCAGTCAGCTGTAGGAAGTCAATTACCTTGACAATCTGCTGCTGAAATGATATTACTTACAGAAGCCTGCATTCTCAGCATAATATAGTAAATAGAGCAATTCGATAGCGAACCGATCTAGTAAGTGCAGAGTATTCAACTAGTTTAATTATTACCTTAAACATCTCTAGAAATATTAATAACAAAATTACAATTATCATTTAAAATTAAATTTTCTAGCCTATTTTCCGCTAATTTGAGTTGATATCACATTAATTCAAATAGAAATTTATCTACGTGATAACTCGTTAAGTAAAGAAATAAGATTATTACCACCATCATTCACCCCCAATCATTCTTCCAGTTTACACTTCTCTAAGGAGGAACAGTCTTGGCCGAAAAAATATCCTACTAATTTTAACATAATCAACTTTAGTGTGGTAGCTACATAAGAAAGTCCTGCAAGCTAAGTACTAAAATGATGAGCTAATAAATTCACAGTCAATCATTATTATCACTTACTCTATCAATATTAGTCTTGATGGAATGAGAATATGATATTATTCATTGCTGCATAACTGAAGAATCGACCCAAGTCACTTTAGAACAATAGTTCATACACTATCTGTTTATAATAATTGGTAAAATTATATATCAAACTCGAAATGCATTTGCTTGTTCAACTTCCAGCTCGTATAAAACGAATTGTGAAAATTTGTACAAATAGAGACCGTAACAATCTACCAACGCGTAATCCCTTTTACATTACGAGAGATTACGATAAAAGAATAATTTAAAGTTTATGATCAAGACTTTGCACTGCTAGATCTATATCGAGTTGGTATCTGTATTTATGGCAATCAAATTGAACGATTTGAACATATTATGGATCACCTGGGAATCCGTCTTCTTTTACCTTTAATATGCCTTATCATGAGTGCATATAACATTAATATGGAATGCTACTAATATTTCTCGCATTCCAATAAAATGATTACAGTAGAAACGGACTACGGGTTTCTTTATTGCCTCTTTTTACCCCTTCATGTGTTATCACATGAATATGTAAAATTATTATGGAACAGTATCGTAACTTAATAAGAAAGTAACAATATAAAGAGACTAGAGCATTTTCATCGCCTCCTTTTACTTCTTACATGCCATGTCACGAGTTAACGTATGTCACAAACCGGCTTCGTGACAAGGATAACGTAAAATAAATCTCTAAATTACTATAGTCTCCGGGATTCAGTATCCCTTAATTACCTCACAAGAATTTAGACGTCTTTTATTCTACGTTAAACTCAACTAGACAATTGGGAACTACTTTATTCAACTATCTGACGGGCTTATATACCCTTCTACAGCAGCTAACATTCATGAGTCATCTTATAAAAATACTTATGTGAGAATAACTACTAACTAATTTTTCACAGTCGGACTACAATATGTCCATTCACAGAATCGTTTCAGAGCACATTACAGCACAGCATTAAATTTACTGTAACACATTTATAATTAGAGTAATTCCTATTGTAAGTAGCTAGTTGTAATATATTATCACTATATTATATTAACCAAATTTAGAGAGCTGTTTCTTCACAGTAGTTCGTACCGTGACAACGTAATATTAATGTAAAATAGTACTGGTATTCTATATCAATAAAAAGAGGTTGCAATACAAACATAATGCAGGTTTGACGATAGTTATTAAATTCATAACATTAAAAGCCTCTCCAGTCGGTAATATCAATTATCACGTTCTTCTATCCATTGTACATTAAATTTAAACCAGGCGCGAAATATAAAACACGGTTTCAAACCGAAATTAAACAAAAAGTAATAGTCCGTATAGAGAGAACAGAAGATGAACTAAATGAGATGGAATACAAAATCAATAAGGAGTCGCTATCCCAACGGTTCGATTACTACTTACTGCTTAATTCACGCTTGATATTGTTATACGCATAAAAGCATTTTAATGGCATCGTANAGGATGATCAGTAATTGAAAATTGTCCAATTATTTCCATTATGAACTCGACCAATACATAGAGAAAGACTATCCACCAAAACAGGTGCAAGCTCTCCAACTGCAGTTATAAATAATAGGCCCATGATGACGTCACATCAATTGATGAGCGGAATAATAGATATCGGTCATTTCTATATCAATAAAATTATTGTTACCTAACGCGTTATCTATATAACGGTATTCAAGCGTCGAATAGGATAATCATGGCCTATATGAACAACTGGTTTTAAATTAATCATCATCATCATTAGTATAGCTACATAAGACACGTCTAGAAACTAGGTAATAGATAGGACTTGGGTTCTATTATTGTATAAGATTGAAAAAATATTTTCCATTTTTTCTATGCACAGGTAAATAGAGTCGAAATCATCCTTTATGAGCAACGTTAATAAACAGGTTTAACTTTTTCCTGACAGATAATCATTATATCATTGCTGACTTGAAATCAACTGATTTGAACAACACTCTATCGATTCTTGATCGCTTTCCTTCCATTTTCGATCGTCAACGTTACTATTAGCATCGATTTGAGTAACAAGAAAACGCTTGAAATATTAGTATACGAAAAAAACTCTAAATTATCTATTTTACAAAAGATCTACAACCATCCAGTTATTCCCGTAAGTATGATCTATTCATGAACCGATTCAACCGATGTCTTTGGCTTTGCTTTTACTCTTTCCTTGTCTGACGTATAGTTAGCGTTTAACTTAACTATGAGTTTTGGTAATTGTTATATAATTTAGTGGTGGATTAGGATTGTGACTATTGAAGCAGAGAGTATCTAAACTTTAGCATTTTTTGTTTCATAGTTGCCAATAGTATATAAAATCGATTTAAATTGGACATTAGAAAATTTGCTATACCACACTTCAGAAACTCTACTAATTTCATAGGAGTTAAGCCATCGATATAGTCGCATAGATAAGAGTAGCACTAGAAGCTGAAATCGAATAGCGTAGTCCTGCACCGGTTTTAAAAAATTCTAACTAATACTGAATTAAAATTGAGTATGAATACGTTACGGAACATCTTGATAATGCTTGCATTTCCCTTCACATGATATAAGAATAACTTTAATATATTTTTCCTATAAGAAGGATAATTATGGACCTAAAATTAAAGTATAATAATTATCTCATAAGTTGGTATGCTTATTACAAACTCTTGTTTATGATAGCTTGTTTCACAAATGAATTGAAATTCAATCTCTTAAAACTAATAAGGCAACTACGGTATTTCAAGGCCATCCTTTGATGAAAAAGGGGATAAACTATACACGTTAGAGTAAAATCTCGTTTTATTACGTCATGTAAAGCTATCTGCTAAAGCCAGAAATTAATTTAAATATTCTAGGTATGTAGTTAAATTACCCAAAATTACTAATTACATAAGCACATCTATGAAACGTTTTAAAGTGAATTTAAATCGTAGCTTTTGATATTTTCTGGATATCATGCAACCTTTCGCACGTACAACTTTAACTTTTAGATAGTAAAATGATAACAAAAACAGTACTTTTACTTTTAAAGGTAACTGAAAGCACATTTGACCAATGTTGTAAGTTTAATATTGTATATAGCGAATTTCCGTATTTGATCGACAGTTTAAGACTAAAGAAAGTATAAGTTTCTCTATCTTCGTCATCTTTCTATTTGGTTCTTAAGAATATTCAGTATTTCGGTTATAAGTTAGAATTTAATTATCTTCAAACTTACTAAAACTAGTCCTTTAGTGAAACAAATATGGAGCAACTTTTACCCGATTTTAGGCCAACTATGTATCTTAATAATGAATTCTTCATTTATCCCTTATTTTATTACTGTTAGTAATTCTTTTATCAATTTCTCCGCATGATTCGATAGATGTTCTGTTCTGAATTCAAATCAATCATCTATAATTTATTCGATTGGTTACTTGATCTTATTAAAAGAAGTTCTTATTAAACTGTAAATAAATGGTGGAGGCGATAAAAGTTTAAGAAAACTGAATCGCTCATTCATTAGTAAAATCATGGCATCATCATATAACCTATGCTATGTTATCCTTTACCAAATCCAAAGGAGAGATTTAATATCGTTAGTACTCAAGCATACCGTATAGCAAAATTTTTAAAGGGAAAATAATAAGTATTTGTAAATAATCGCACCGTGATATTTTAATAGTGCTTCCTGATATCAAAAATTTACACGGATCATGAATATAGATACCAATGCACTAGTGCATCATACTAAAATTAAAAGAGCCCTTAAAAATAGACCGTGAATAATCTCTTTTACTATTAGATTTTACACAACTTATCCGAAGACAGTCCTTCAAATGTTAATTTCTCGTGTATTTATCTAGTTTTGACGTCATTGAGCGACAGCTTCTTCATATTTCTAATCAGGGTTCCTAGTTGGTTAAGAATGTCATACCTTACCGAAATATATTAATTCGAATTATACTTAATATCCCATAATACCAAATCTTCTGTCGAAGCTTAATATTTAGAAGAGATACTTTCGATAGTATTTAATTCAATCAATCGCATAGAATAAGATATCTATAATCTATTATTTGGATTAATAACTCGTTACATATCCTATCATATTGCAGAAAAAATATATGAAAACATCCTATTTGTATTTTTAGAGCTAATGATAGATAGTGTTGTTGAAAAGGACCGAAAATTGAATTTTTTTCTCTGCTCTAAATTTTAAACTTATAGCTGCAATTTATGTCTAATTGAACCATCACTGATCTTACTCGAATTCTCAAATGATTATAACTTCTGTGGAATGATTTGGTGATAGAAAATATCTAATTTCGCTTTTATTTGCTTGTAGATTATAGAAATGATGTCACAACAACGCAAATTCCTGACAACTGTGGCATTTTTAGCCTTTATTGGCATTTTCAACAGCCATGTTATTCGTGGGCAACAATTTAATCTTGAAAAGTAAGTAAAATTGCGGATGTGATCTATTATTCGATAACAAGCAACACAAAAATGTGTCTTTTACAGCCTATATTGCTAGATATTAGATTTTTAATATTAAAATAAGATTTTTGGGAATAATACCATATAAATATCATCGATGCAATCTTTAAATGCCTATTTAGTCATATCATGAAAAGGTCTCCTATGATAAATGCAAGTCAGGTTTGACTTTATGGTAGTAGCACTTTCATTGAAAGTAGATGAAATATTTCTATCAGTTTTGGTTTCATAGCTGATTGCCATTCTTGTTTAATCTTTATAAATGATTACTGCTTCTGCTTATAATTTATATACGGATTAAAAATGAGGTTTACACTATACAGTATAGACGAGTATAGTCCTAATTTAATTATACTATAATTTAATCGATGTAAATAACCTATCAAAGTTTCTAAAAAATTCTTTGCATGAAAGAACTCGAATAGTGAACTCGTCCAAATTAGTGACCAATAGTCAAACTAAGAATTTATAGCCTTAAACAACTTTAAATGAGGGATTCAATATTATGAACGCGTAGTATAATTACGCTGCTCTTAATTTCAAGTAGCATATTTAGTCTACCTTAGCAAAATATATGTCTTTCATAACAAAAAGAGCATGAACCGCTAATAATAATTTTCCAGGTCAAAGCCGGCCCCGATGATTAATGATACTAACCAATCTACCTTTCTATTATGATCTAAGTCTTAACTCGTTACTACTTGTATTACAGCATTAATTTATGGGCTGACCAAATTGGAAATGAATTAAATCGAATTGGATATGAAATTTTAGATTTGAATAAAATTGAGAATGTAAGTGAAAGTTCTTGATGATATTCACAGGTAGCATTTTGCTAGAAATTGATAACAATAAATTTTATTTTGATTATTTAATTCTAATATAGCTATAAGCTTTAGCCGGTATAATTACGATTAAAACGTTAAAAATCAATGCAGAAAGCAATAATAAGGATGTCTAATATAATTCAATTTATGATAAATATTTCTTCAAAATATCAATCAGAGATTCATGCTGCTATTGTATTTAAGCTGGAAGCTTTGAATTTTTTCTTACAGATATATCAAAAGCAAGATTTATATGTTCAGAATTTGAATGGATCATTTCTCATCCAACAGCTTGCTAGAAATTTACGTGAAACATTCTCTACTAAAGTTGCGGCTCTTCAGGTAAATTTGATTTACTGTATCAATCTTAGTCTAATGTTAACTATAAGACGAAATACTGTCTAACTATCTATAAATTTGGTCTGAATAACTTGACTTAGCTGATATATAGTTATAGATAAATGTTCATGCTTAATCTTACTCTTTAAGGCTGTCATTATTGGAGTTTATTATTACTATATCATGCCGTATGCAAATAGTAATGTAAAAATTATCAAACTTTTTAGACTTTACACAACAAATAAGAGTAAAATAATCAAAAATTGAACAAGCTAGAAGAATAACAATATTTCACTGATTATAAGGCTCTAACTTTCTTGTCCAATAGTAAGATAATTTCAGTTTTCAATTTTGTTTTCCTCCTATATTTGAATAGAATCTGGTCGATGCTGTTCAAATATTAGCTAATGATAAATTGACCAACTTGACGGAGTTAAGACAGGTGAGAATAGCTTATTTTAACTTGCTAGTGTTATTTAACCTGACATTAAAGTTATACTTGTTGCATTATTCGTTTAGCTACATTACTATGACTCTTTAAGTTCTAATATAACCAGCGAACTGACTATGACATACAGCACGAAATTTAAGACGCTTATTAATTCAAGTCTGAGTGTTATTCAAATTCCTACCAATGTTTATTCCGGAAGTAAGATAAAATTTAATACTAAATGGGATAACATGGCTATTCGAAGATTAAATTTTCATTAAGCTTTCGAAGTAGAATTCTAAATCTATATTTTACAGGTCGCAGTATTTTGGCAACAATTGAATATACAAAAAATCTTAATGATTATTTTATTGAAAACTACAATAATGATCCAAACTTAAGAAACCAGTATTTTGGTGGGAATGACGGAGTTTTTCGCACATTTCCAGGTTAGAGATTCTTTCTAACTAAAAGTATGAATGCGTTAATACTCGATAGTTTTGGATAGTTTCTATTAATTATGCGGAATTAGCACGGATATTTAACATATCTATATGGATTCCGTGGTAAGGTTCATCTATAATGACAATTTTTATCTATCCTTTATCTTGTCAAAATAATCTGCAGGAAGACCATGGCCCAAGGATGAAAGTGGGATCGTCTTATACGATTGCCGACAACGTGGATGGTAAGAACGATATCAGAAAATATTGCTTAGAACATAAAAATTTTAGAGCCGAGTAAACTAGAAAATAGTTACATATATAATAGCTCAGCTTATACGAACCACAGCATAGAAGCAGTAGCTGCTTCTATATCTTTAAACCATTTATTTTCGATAAGTAATACTACAGCGACAAATAAGCAATAGCCAAGTGCATATATTATATTTTGCAATGAAGGTATATTTTAGGTTCGGATTCTCCTAAGAATGTGATTATCTTGATTGACAGGTAAACATCATACTAATATATCTAAGTAGTGAATACTACTCAGCGCTGTGCATTTAATCGTACTTAATCTTCAACTAATAGCTCTTATTGACCGAACTATATTCTTGTGGTTGTAGAAGTGGCAGTATGAGAGGAATGCCGTTAGCAATTGCTAAGTGGGGTACATCCAATCTTCTTGATACATTGAATCAGAATGATTTTTTTACTATCCTAACGGTAAAGGATATTATCCATAATAGATAATCAGAATATTTCTTTAGTTATGAGGATAGTACAAGTTACAGAGATGCCTTTTTTTACTAATTAGTTTAACGAAAGTATAACTCCAGTAATTGATTGCTATACAAACTTAATTCAAGCTACTGATGAAAATAAAAAGGTAAAAAGCTACTTGTATAAATTGTTTGTGTGGAAATATAAAGTATTGTATCGATTTAATACATGATTCGTTGCTTAATACTTTGGATTTGTTTACTATACGCTATATCTAATAGTCAAATAAATTTATTCACGTAAATTAGCTGTATAAAACCTATCTTGAAAAATTTACCGATGGTGGTCGGGCGGATTTCAACCATTCTTACGCTATGGCATTTGACTTGCTGCAAAATGCAAAAACACAATCATTTCGTCATAGTGCAAAATGTCAGGAAGCGATTGTTTTATTTACTGATGGCGCTGCTCAGTACACTGAAAAATTACTCGCAGAAAGAAATAGCGAGAAAAAGGTTAAAGTAAAAATTTTTAACACGTATTCGCATAGTTAATATCTTGCCATGGAAGAGTACATGCTGTTATATAAGAATGTGAAGATGTTTAATAATTAGAGCGTTAACATCAACTGTTACAATTTTAGAAGATTTTCAGTAATAAATTAATCCAGATTGATTCTTTATCTCCATCATTTAATTTAAAATCTGCCATAAGTATCTGTACTGACGTGATGAATTATAGTATTGACAGAACATCTTTATCGCTAACAGTTCAACGAAACTAATCAGGCAACTAGTTTCTTATTACTCATTAACAGCTATTTTATGGCACTGCAGTGGCAGAAGCCATATCTTTGCTTCTCTTAAATTCAATTTTAGTAGTATAACACCAAGCCAATCTGGCTATATTCCGATCTATGACAGATCAATTGTTTGCTCACGATAGAATAACTAAATTTTTAATCTTTAGATTCGCATTATTACATTTGTCGTTGGTCCTCAATTTTATGACACCGTTCCTATCGAAAAATTGACGTGTGAATATAATGGTAAAAGTTTGGATTAATCTAATAATTATCGATATTCTCTATATCCTACTACAAACTTATATTATCTTTACTCCGTGTATAACACGCATGTACCATTATTTTAAGCCGAATAAACCTATCTAAGATATTATTTCTTTTAATCTATTACTCTTAAAATTATCTAACAAATGGCAGGTTTTCTTGGTAAGATACCCAGCATGGGCGAAGTTGGAGACGCTATTCGGGTATGTGGCATAGATGTTGCATTATAGTTATAGTAAATTGATCAAAATAAGGCTAGTGTAATTAAATATATCATAATTATTCCATAGCAATATACAGAAGTTATGAATAGACCACTATTAAACGACAAAAACCATCCGGTAAAATGGACAAGCGTATATTGGGACAAACTGGTAAGTTTGATTACAAACATGCCACCGATCATAGAGAAATTAATGTCCTAAATAATATGAAACACTGAAACTGATACCGATATTTATAATATGAAATCGAATCTGACCTAATCTTATTATAGGGAATGGGACTGGTAACCACTGCTGTAATGCCAGCATTTAGATTTAATTTAACTGTGAGTTTCCTATAAATTATTTTACTTTATACGCGTATACATCTTTGCATACTTCCTCTGCCTTGGTGTTGATAAAGACTTTAACTTCGATTTTATAATTTTACTAACAATCTCTTGATTCTAGGCGAGTTTAAACCCTGAACAACTCTTGGGAGTTATGGCTACGGATGTTCCCATCGAAATGTTTCAGCAATGTGTTCCTCAGCACCTAGTAAAGTTAAAATAGATGTGCATGCAATCCCTACATTCAATTAATGCTATCTAGACACAAAATAAATTAGAAATTAAAAGATTATGATAATCTACGTACTTTTCTTTGCTAATTTGATATAGCTTCTACCTAATGGATACGCATTTGTGATCGATAATAATGGTTTAGTTTTGTTTCATCCGGGTATAAGAGCAACGGTAAATGATATGTAATAAATTTTAGATAAACTGTCCACTAAACATGCAATACTATGTGCGTGCGATTTAGTAAAAGTTCATTAACTCAATAAATCCTTACATGGATCTAACTAAAAATTTTTTCGTCACTGCAGGATGGCTATATTGACAATCCACCACCAGTTGACATCATTCATATAGAATATGGAAGTAGAATTGAAGAGGTATGAGAATTTTAAAGCAAACCGTAAAGGATAAATCTTTCAGTGCTATATCTTTCTAGTGCTATTAGTCATATTGTGCATAAACATAATTGAAGATTAGAGCAACAGAGAATCTATTCTTTCATATTCGCTTTATCTACACATTTCTAGCTTCGTAAAGCTATGATTGATAGATTATCAGGCTCAATGACTATGGAAACTAAGCTTTTGTACAGAAATTATGAAAAGGTAAAGAATTTGAGTCATAACTTTAAGCTACTTTGAACCAGTCATTTAGTTGGTTTAGTAATAATGGATCATATTCAATTAATTCAGGGGCAAGGAGTCGTTAAAAGGATGACCTATCACTTCATGCCTGTTGTTAATACCAGCTATAGGTAAATGCATGTTGATATCTGAAAAATTTTGTTTCGCTTCAACTCTATTGTTGGCAATATTTGCTATTGTCAAAATAAAATATAAAATCTAACATTTTCTAAATTATAAAAGCAATTCGCCTAAAGTTTGAATACAGGGCTTAAAGTACATTATTTTATTAATAATTTAGCGTGGCTATCGCCATTGAAGATAATACTGGAATACCAATATCTAATTCATGCTATAGTAAAGGTATTTATCCATACTTATAACAAAAATGTATTCCGGTTTAATTATAAAGACAGTCATAATAGAGGTAGTATTCAAGAATATTTACGATATTCAATGCAAAAAGTTCTTGTATAATCTTATTTTTTAGGTCTAGAATATCTAAATAATATGACAAAAAGTGAAATAACAACTAAAATACTAGACTGGTAAGATTTATTATATCTTGAATCCAGTCTCTACCTACTTAACACTTCTTTCGCAATAATAACCATCTTTCCAAGAACAAAATTTTTAAAATTTGCTATTCTCACTCTAGGTTACATTGTCATGGTGATAATTTACATCAATCAAGCAAATATGATAAAAAATTTTCTAAAAACTGCTATCACGAAGTTACTGGAGGCCTCATCAAAAGCAAACAGGATTTTGATAAATACTGTAAATTTTAGTAACTACAATTAGCTGAAAAATGCTAGCAACAGAATAGATTAGATGGATGGAACATTAGTCCATATAATTGATGCTACCGTTATGTAACTACTACTTCAATTACTAACAAAAACGGTTTCAAATTTAGGTAATCAAGCATTGTTCAAGCAGCTTCTACAAGATGCTCATTCCGTGGATACATTAAAGCCTCCTCAACCCGCATTACAAGATGATGCAGTTGCAAAGTAAATACCAATTATTACCACACTTCTACAACATGTATCAACTCTACACTATAATTTATTATTATTAATTTAGTGATATTAAATTGATTTTGAAATATTCATCCTATATCCTAATATCAATAGGTGATATTTAATAGCTGTTTCGTTTTAATTTAATTTTACTTCATACAACCAACAGCCGTGAAGGTATTTGTGACACGTTTATTAGTACCTTCTCTGGATTGACAAAATATTATACATTGATCAGGTAAAAAAAGAAATGTGACTAAAAAACTTATAGATAGGCATTAGTAAAACAGATTTCACTAAAGTTAGTATATCTAATCATTGTGATTTTACAAAAGTAAGTTATCATTATAATTTGATAGTGGTCAGCGTTGCTGTAGCATCCTTGGATCACGCCAATGCCTCGAGAAGGGCAAGTAAGTATTTTTAGTAAATGTACTATCTTAGCAGCATCTGGAACTTACAGTAGCAGTAGTATTACGGTTACTTAATGATTAATTGAAATTGTCTTGAGATTTCTTAAATACAATGGACACTAATCAATTAGAAAGATAAATCTTCAATAAATTATAGAAGCAAAGTTAACTTTCTAAAAGCCTTATATCATCCAAGAGCTACTAATAAATTTTGCGCTATTCTTCCTAAATCTATGCAGCCTACCTTTTTGTACTTTATTTAAATTAATACTATATATGGCAGAGAGTTCGAGGAATCAGTGGTAACAAAGTCAGTTGCTATTAAGAGATTGACATAAACTATTTATTAGAAAGATCTCTTTGTTATAGACTTTCAACATGTAATAATGAGGCAGTTAATAAAGAATAGAGCGCATGTTTGTCGTGGCAATGTTATGTAAGAAGCGCTAACACTTAGGGCTATTGCAGTTATTGAGATCTGAGTCAAAAGTCAGCAGTATTTGCAACTTTGAAGATGGAATACGTACAGAAAGTAACATTGTAGAACCAAATCGATACATGCCAAAATTTTCGATGGCAAAGCGAATATGATAATTAAATAATAAAAATTAAAATAACTACAATATATTTTAATCTAAGCTAAAATCAATGACTTATAGCGTACATCTATGAAACTTGTTTACGATTGAATACTTACCGTATAAACTTGAATTACTAATTGCTGTTCCTTAGGGTGATTCATTTTAGCTATAATGCAAAGTTCTGATATTATTTTACTGGTAAATGGAAATTTCCAATCATTTTACATTTGAAATTTAATATAATCATTCATTCATTATACTAGCGGCATAGAAGTTAAAAACACTTCTCGGCAAGACCATCTCTACGATCGTATTGTTTCCAAATTATCTGTTAATCAAAGTCTTTTCACCTACCGTCTACAGCATCGGATAGGTAATGAGCTAATATATATGAATGGTTTATTTCTTTGTCGCTCAATTTAGAATTTCGAAACTCCTTTAATGAATACATTAATGTATCTTTTAACAATTTTAGTCCTTTCTGCTGGTTTTTATACTAACATACTTTACAATATTGACAATTAGGAACATACTACTCCTTCCTAGTTACAAAGCCGATCATCATCGGTAAATCAAACAAATTTCTTCGGGCAGGTAAATTTTGAGTATTTCAGTAGTTCACATAAGACCAAATTGGAAACGGTATTTAATAACTTGGCAAAAATGAAATCCGTCGATAAATCATTTACTACTTTCTGAGCTAATTAATGATTGTATTCTTGTCAGTGGCCGGTATGGAAATGACATTTCGACGATTTCGCTCCATTATTACATCCGTTCCATTATTGGTAAAATAATATATTATTTAAAATAATTTTATCTCATATATTTGATAGCAAGCTTTAATTTCTTTTCCTAGAACGAAAATCCAACATTAAACTGTTTCAATTTAACTAATAAAAATAAGGTAGAAATGTTTATAAACAAAAGTCTAATAATAAAATTTTTTCTAGTGGATTGGAAAAACTGTTTTTGAAATTAATTTAGTACTCCTTTCCTGATGTATTGATCAACGTCCACATTTTTGTTACGTTAGGGGATGACATGCTTTATTTTAGACGAAAATGCTTTTGTCTTAGATACCAATTTAGAAATAGCAGAGGTAACATTTTTCAAAATACTTTCATGCAATACTGCTTAGAAAACATATGTCGTACAATCCACGAATATGTTTATTTCCTTTACTTAACAAGATTGGAAAGTCCTTGGCCATCGTGGATAATCAATTGCTAGAAAGCTTAATTGCACACGATGTCTATACTAGGTGATTATATTAAACACAAATCCAATAGTGAGCAGTGGAAACAGTCAAATATAACAAAGATGACTTGAACTACTTCATCGAAATTCAAGAATTATCGAAAATATACAAAATGTACAGTATGCATGTTGTCAAAAATTGACGATATAATGATTGTTATATCCTTGTAGAAATATCATATGGGATTACCAAGGAGTATGTTCTAATGCTCAGACTTCCAATTCCGCCTCAAGGATTATGAATGTAAATAAGATTATCTAGTAATTTTACTATAGCAGGATACTTATCAGTATTTTCTTTCTATTATATTAACTCCTGGTAGCCGGTTATATCGGTTTTCAACTATTTCTCAATATTTACCACATCCTTCTTCAGGCATGTAAATCTTGACTTTGAAAATTTTGATCAAAGTCATCAATATGAACCATAATTAAAAGTTGCAAATCGCATTTACTTCCGAATATTTAATTTGGAATATTATATTTAATAATTGCAGCTTCTTGACAAATTTTAATATGGCGAGGTAGCTATTCAGGATGGCTCCGAAACGATTTTATTTCAATTCATTACTAAGATTACTTTGACTTTTTCGCAATTGATATACCATCTTAATTATTCCTTTTTTTGTGTAGCGTATTAACTTATCTTGGATCATTCCTCTATGGAAAAGGTAAAGTATAACTAAAATAATATAAGCATGATTTCATAAGAATATTATTAAAAGCTACACATATAGCAGATAACGCTACTTGAAAGTTAAGCTGGTAATTTTGATTTTACACTGCAGCATCTATTCATACACTTTAGATCTTATGCATGTTATGAACTTAATTAGACATTGCAGCAGATATATTGTCCGAAATAATTATAGTACATCATACCGTAGACCTGTCTTAATCAATTTAAGCAGCAATTAGTATCACGCTAGGAACACTTCCACTACTATCATATATAGCATTCAGTGATATATTTCAACTTTAAACAGAGGATGTAACTGCTATTTATCTTGACTAATTAGCTGATGGTGCTTATATCGACATTCGGCCGGATAATAGAAGTTGTATGTACATACGTCAATTTATTTTGGCTGGAACACATGCAACTAGTAGAATCGCCGGTAAGTTAGCCTAATTCGTTATTAAAACACATAGTAAACCAGCTAAACAATACCTACGTTAATAAATGTGATTTAAAGCCCTAAATTTGAATTGAAAAGTGATCAAATTTTTAGTGAGATGAATCATTTTAAATTTCTTAATTTATTCGGAAAAAATTGCATTCCTTTTTGGTTTTATTTAGGCAATATTACCTGCAATTCTGATAATAGCACGTAAGCTCTTAAATTTTCTATTGAAGTTAATTCAATCTTGTCAGCAAAGTCTAGATTTAGTAAATTTCATGAAGCATAAAAAATAATTAAATTTTATTTTCAGGAGAGCATTTTTTATCAGTCCAATTAACAACACTAACTTAAAGTTAGTCATAGTGGAAGAAAGCAAGTCTGAGCTGTGCAATAACAATAGCGTGGTTTATTCACCATCAACAGTTGATATCCTCTTATCATTCTCTAACTTTATAATTTAACAGTTATAGAGACGTCCATAGTAAATAAGAAGTTCTACCCTAAAATAATTGTATGGTTTTTTTTTCATTGTTCCTGACAACAGTTGATGTAGCCATTGAAGAGCTATAACAAGCATCAGGATTTGCCTTGAGCTGTTATGTAGTATTTGCTTTAAACTCATTATGATCAAAGAAACATCAAACCTGAGACACTCATATATGCAACTCGAAGAAGTAAAATCACCGAAGTTCATTCTTGAAAACTCGCAGTAAAAGTGTGAATATCACTTGTAGCATAAAATAGAAGTGCAAAAATCGATTTCAATCAAATATAAATGAGCTTTTCTAATAAAATAAAATTAAAGTAAATGCTTTTCTATACATATAGCTAGTTGAATTACCTTAAATAGGAATGCCAACCTCGCGCATGAGATGAAGCAAACGCGAAGGCGATTATTATGAAAAATTTATATAACAGTTAAAACCTACACTAGTTACTTTGGTAGATTTTATACTTAACTATCACTGTATTTAGGAATTTTATGATATAATGTTATACTATGTGTTTCATCATCAAAGTTGATAATTATTCTTAACAGTCTGTACCGACAGCAGAACAAATTAAAAATCGAACTTGTACAGAAGATGGAAATTATAGAAAAGGACCTGAATTCTGCTTTAAAAAGATTACTCCGGTAAGTGCGCTATATCGTTAGCGTATCTATTGTGTATCACTATTTAGATTAATACAGTACTAATAAGCGTATTGAAGCTTCATATTACTCTTAATTAGCATGGGAGACAAGAAATTGAACGCGTAGTTGAAGTTATTATAAAACTAATTACTTATTCGTAGTCCCTCCTTATTGTATTGAAAAACGGGGGCTATATCATGTACGTGCGCCGTTCAAACTTACAACCTAATGTAAAATACAAGTTTGTTTAACAGTGGATTCATTATTTTCAGCAGCATAATCCACAATTAACATGCAAAGCTAACAAATATAGAATAACACCTTTGTAAAATACTATAAACAATCAATCATGATTATTATTATGTGATCAGCGACAATCATAAGTTTGTAACATACTAAATTTCAGGTAATATCGAATTAACTTCAACACATGATAGCTCTCTTAAATATGCTATACTGACTTATGCTGTAGATAGTAATCCATCGGATTAAATGTGCAATCTAACAAATATAGCGTAATATATAATAGTATTTATTGACATAGCCTATGTTATATAACTATTTGTAAAACAATGACATACTATATTCGTTTCCAGATTATCAATAACTTACGCGAATTTCTAGTTTTAATTTATTGGTCAATTTTTGATTAGGTTCCAACAAAAGGATGTAGCTCTGCATTGGCCAACTTTAACAGGAACGATATTTTACTATGCTGTATTTTAGCAGTGTTATTGAATTTCATCGCTATGTAAAGCTATCAGTGTATGCTTGATAGATAATATTTTATATCAACTGCAGCAGGGCCATTTTTCTTTTGGCAGTTACATTTATACAATTTCCAAGTCAAACTAATGTGTACAGTATATGAGGTGGTATATTTGTTAAAAATTGTAGTGAAGATCATTTTACTTACGCATTATATTATTACTACAGTATTTACTGTTATCATTCAACACGACTGGGTAATGGTTGCCAGTTCAAGATTTAGATGGTCAATTTACAGTTCCTTTTTTTGCTATTTGTGATTGAATTTCAAAGATTCATTTTTTTATTGCTACAGTATAATAGAACAAACCTCAACATTGCATATTTAGTGTATTAACTAAACCGTGTCATTTTAGATTATCATGGATTGATTTCATGTCAATATTAGTATTAGTATAACTTTATTGTTCATGTTCTTAGAATATGCTTACATGGTATACTACTCATCTAAGTTATGGCGTTATTAGAGGAAAGTTGGAATTGGTAGATTGACTGGATTGCCTTTAGTAGGATGAATTTTTGATTGCTATCGTTTGTAATACCAAAAAATTGTTATTGATGGCAATTGAATAGTATGCACGACAGTAAAATAAAATATCCAAGTTGGCGGTGTGATTCTAATCGTACCCATATCTTATTCGTATCAACGTCAACGGGAAACTTACCCTCCTTAGTTTTTCAACCTGGATAGATATGCCGTGCTTGCTATCCATGATTGATGATCTATGCGTACCATCGTTAGTATTGAAGTATATAATTCATAGATATAACTACCCATAACAGAGTAGAAGATTATCATAAAATAATAACTTTATAGAACGCTGAAATTAGCGCCACACCTATGAATTACATATAGAGAAGTGGACTCTATTACAGCAGCATCGCACTCGCTGATGTCTCTATATTATTCATTCTAACCAAGGTGCGCCAATATACTTGATTTAGGCTACTTAACGAAATTCTAGGTCATAATATTGATAACAAAAACTAATTTCGTCCATGCAGTAATATTGTGGCACTGACTCACTTTCATTAAAGCACTGCTCTATACAGTATGCACATACTAGGCTATCTTTCGAGTAGTCCTTGGTAAGTACATTATCGCCGATTGTGTATCACCAAACTACCATGAAGATAGCTTTTCATTTCATAGCATACAGCACAGTATATCTCTATCCTGTCGTGCAGAGCAACGAAAGACTCACTGAGTGAGTTTTAAAGAGATACCTCATTTCTTTTTTTATGACACTACTGGACATTTTATACTCCGTATTTACTAACTACATACAGTACTGGAAAAATGAGTGTGTTACGTTTTGGAAACTCCTCTACTTTGTAATAAAAGTCCAACAGAATAAGTTACAGTTGTAGTGAGCTTATAATATAGAAACTTTATCAACATAGCTAAGGAAAAGTTTCATTTCGTCGCAGAGAGGGATGGCCAGTGCAGCGAAATAACCAGCAAAAATACATTAGTCGACTTAATGCAGCGCTTGTTTAGTGCCCATCCTTTTCAGTCCTGTGATCATCAACGAGCGAGGGTCTACTAGTAATCATGATCACAGGACTGTAGTGATCGATTTCTCTTCATTGATCAATCGATGATGATGATAGAGGATCCGATACTCTTCTATACTGTACCTTGTACAGAAATGGATGGTTGATAAAAACAATCTACCGTGTGAATATTGCAGTAGCAAGATAAAAATGGCTTAGCGTGTCCTACTGTCATTTCGCCAACGTCAGATACAATACACTACTTGAACGGTGCATCTCATCAGCGATGCCTACAGATAAAATTTCACCCCAAAAGTCAAGAAGTCATCACAGTGTCCAATAGCGAAATGTCCCCGTTGAAAAAAGAAGTTTTAATTCATTTTGATCTACTTTACTTTAGTAGTCCAATATGATGGACGGGGCCGGGAGGAGAAGACCTAGTTTGCATCGTTTGCAAAGGTCTGCTGCAGACTTTTTGAGGAGGCGGACAGACATTTGGACTCATTTCGACTATACTACTCCAGTTACAGTACATAGAGGGACTGTACAGTCTACAATGCATCGAATACAGTACAATGTACTGTAATACTGTACGGTACTGGCGGACAGACATATGGATTCATTTCGACTATAACACTATTACAGTAGTGGTGTAGTAGTGTACAGTGTACAGTACTGTCCAGTACAGTACATAGAGGGGTTGTACTGTACACTGTACAGTCTACAGTCTACTGTACAGTTTACAATGCATCACATACAGTACAATGTACTCATTTCGACTACGACACGACTACTGTAGCGGTGTACAGTACTGTACAGTACTGTACTGTACAGTGTACAGTGTACAGTAGAGTCCATGGGCTCCTCAATAGCAAGAGTCAAATGGCTACTGCACTGCGCACGTGCAAAAAATACGCTCATGACATCGCACATGCAGCCGCTAATCCCATACTCTAGACTGCTCGATATCCCATCTAGTAGCTCACGCCCATACCAATAGTATACAATCGATTTCCAAACATAACATGAAAAGAAATCATACTGTAGTAGGTGATCCAAATTGCAAGGAAAGACTTCCATTTTGCTCAGCAACGCCTTCCATTCCACAGCAAAATGATGTCAGAAAATAGAAGCAAGCCCAACTGGAGTAGTGATCCACGTAATACGGCTTGGAGTCAAGGTAATAATTTATGAAATGAGTAGATCCAACTGTTTCTCATGCCACATCAATACCATTCGGAGTGTAAGCTGCTGTACTCCATCTCCATGCCAATGCTAACTGCTTCAAAGTTGGAGGAGGACAAGATTGAACAAGATGGTCTGATCGATGGTGTTTGTTTTGCTAATGAAGAACTGTTGCCGTCATCCGATGGCAAAGATGCAATCGTTCAATTCATTTCAAGTCATCACTTGATATAGCCAGGAAGTAGCATTGACAACGAATGAGCTTGAATGCGACGGGGTCGTTTAACTTACATTATCATTATCAATAACAATTTGCATAACTATCCTTTGATGGGTCGACTAATCACAATCCGCCAATCTTGTGATTGCTCAATTGCTCATGCATGGCAGTTAAAGAATCATTTCCTACGTGGAAATGGTCACTTGCTCCATCATGTTACTCTCGGCCGCATGGAGTTGTTCGTATACTTTCAATCCATTCTTTAGTATAAAAATAATATTGCTCAACTAGGATACTTTTGCAATTGAATACTAGTGTAGAAATGTTGACTAATGTCGTTCCTTATTCTTACAATAGCTTCATTCATACTCTACGTAAACATCACTTGATGCTAATACCACAGAATCATCCACATTATACTGGAATGAGTGTAATATTTGCCTTATGCCTAGAGATGTGCTTGAGCCATTATTTGGCGATATACTATAGGAGCCTAATACGTTGATTTTAGTACGTACAGTGCAGTGCTCTAATGGAAAAGTAGCATGAGGGAAAGGCTACGTGTAAAATACTACCTGATTCAACTTTCAATATGTCCCTAGCGTTAAATGCAATATGCGCTGCACATCGGTACTGTATCTCTCTTTCACCTACGATAAATTTCTCTACTAAATATACGTAACCTTATCTCATGATGCTGCGAGTAGCATATTATACGAGTTACTCCTACTTTATCATTTCTGTTGGCTATTCATGATGTTATCGTATCCATCGTAGAACAAATAGATTGGGATAAACTTTGTTACTTCGGATAAAAATTTAAAATATTGATAACGAGCCTTATACCCTGAGTATTCTTATTTTTTAATATACTTATGATGTCTATTCTATACTATTTCTTTAGATACGAACAAATTTGGTTATCGAATGTTAAATAAAATGGGTTGGTCAGCTGGCAAAGGGTTAGGCATAAAAGAAGATGGTGATAGTGGCCATATCAAGATTAAAATAAAAAATAATAATTTAGGTAATAATAATAATAGCAACGAATGCTTCAAATTGGATAGAACAGCGATCAATCTATTTTCATCTATGAAATAAGATCAAAAAGTCTTGACAGCTTCTTTTCAAAGTACCAGTACAATAATTGACTACTTTCTTATGCTCTCTCGATATGTTCGTGCTGTACTGTATGTACTCGTACTTGCGTAGCTATAGCAGCCCAACTAGCCTTGCATAACAAATAGACAAAATTGCCAATGATATAGTCTATGAAGAGCATTTATTCGAATGCTGAAAGAACTCTACTTTTTCAGGGGTAGGTGCTAATGTCAACAATTGTTCGGATTGGACAAAACAGCAAGATGATTTCAGTGTTCTTCTTTCGAATCTAAATAATGTTCATGGCCAGACAACTACAGGTAAATAGCAAAATACTGTATAAATTCTGGCTTATCATATTTCAATATTTATTGCTATTGTACTGTTTCTTATACGAGAAATTGAAATTAACTTCGGTCAAGAGTGATGTTATATAGAGATGTTTGATATCATATTAAAGTACCGCACACTTCATATCGACACTGCCATAGATAACGATGAAGCTAACGAAACAGCTAACAACAGCATTTTTAGGATGGCTGAGCTCAATGGAAAGAAAGCCAAGTAAGAAACTTTCAATCCGAAATTTGAATGTTCTTTTTCCTATTTACACTACACTGATAATCGCTCATCTATTTAGGTATCATAAAGTTTTAAAATGCAAAGACGTACAAAATTATTCTAAAACTGATTTAACGTGTATATTTGGAAGAAGCCATAGCAGTCCAGAACTTTCGTCGGTTTGTGAATAATATACTTAAGCAATGAATGTAACAGTACATCTTGATATCGCATTATTGAAGTGATCAATCATCTACCATTCTGCCATGATATGAAGTACAACTTTAAATTTAAAAAAACTCTTTTTTTATTTATAGATGGCTAAATGTTCTAATCCATCAAAAGATTCAAATGATAAAAATTTTGGTGTCAAGACAATATCAAGTCAAATGAATTTAAAAGAGTATTTTGCTTCGAAAAGCCAAAATAAATTAGATGAGCCTAGAAAGAAAGCGAAACTGATCCCCTGTAAAGAAGAATCTGACGATTCGATTGATTCTAGAGCAGTTAGCTTTAAATTATATGATGACGAGGATACAAATGAATCAAATCAGTTCACTGATAAAAGAAACAGCAAGGATTGCGCGAATAGAAGTAAAATATCCTCAAAAAAGAAAAAACGAAAGGAGAAAAGGAAGAATAAAAAAATAAAAAAATCTTCCAAATAAATATCAAGTAGCAATTACTTTAACATATATATACAAGGCATCAGGAGTATTTTCGTTTTTTTCGCACATCAACAGTTATGTAACTAGAAAACTACTGATACAGCATTCATATTTGTAAATATTTTCATCATCCTATATATTGCTAAATCCAGCATCAAATGTGTTACAAATATTTTTAAATGCTACTATCGATACCAGAAATAAATCTATTTTTAAAAGTAATTTGCTAAAACTACTAGCGTTACTGACTACTTTGCCCAGCAATTTTGAAACATCTTGCCACAGCTTAAGTTTAGAGATCAAAGTTGTCGTAGAATTCATTTGCTTTGCATTAAGTTTTATCTACAATCGAACTTGCAAAGTAAATTAGCTAGGTACACAGGCTAGCTGTTTATAACATTCATGATAGATAGCTCTGTAAATTCGCTAAATTATTAGCATCAATTTGCTCATGGCCATCAAGGTTAGCTGTATCTTGCAACAGCTTACACATAAAATTAATATAATAGATAGATAATTTTAAGGTATCGATTTTAGATAGTTTAGTCTCGTAAGAGAAAGTTGGTAAGTGTTGGCGTAAAGTATCGAAAGCACTATTCATAACATTCATACGTCTCCTTTCGCGATTATTAGCTGCTTCACGTTGTTCACCGGTTGGAGGCTTACGTTTTCGTCTCCTCGCCATAGTTGGCGTTGTGGCCGATTTCTTGGCAGGTCTATTGCTAAAGATTGAGGAAGGAGGTTGTCGTGTGGAGGATATCCTTATTGCACGTTCGGTTAAGTCGCCTTGATCGGAATTGAAAGTTGTGGTAGGAGAAATGAAGTAAATGCTATCTAGATCAACAAAACTATTCTCAATCACGTGTGTTATAGTTGCAGCATTTGCTTGATTTAATTCCATATCGATTATATCGAAATCTAAGTTAGTATCAAATTGATCCGCCATCTGGATTTAGTAGACTGCAGTTATTCTACTTGAGGACACAGAATTTTTAACAGTATTTATAACTTATTACAGTGGTATTGTCCATGACAATGTGAGAATTAGAAATCATAATCACAGATTGACCAATTTCATTTTATTGACATAATTAACAAAGTGTTGCAGCTGTGGCTTCAATTATTCTTCTATTATCTTTCGAAATTGGATTAATACTGAAACTGATTGATGTAAGCTACAGATATCTTGAAGACTGCGATTCTATCGTTCAATTTCAAATACGCGTATTGTAACCTAAAGTCAAAAAAAGCATAATCTACTCATTGCACTATCTTTATTTTTAGCCTGGGTAAATAAGTAATGATGTTCGATAATTTATATTTGATCTTAGAAACTGAAAATCAAAAACTTTTTTATGACAGAATAATTCTTGCTACAGTATTAAAAGATTATTTAATTTAGCTGTATTATGGAACATAGTACTGTATGATTCAATAGAATAATTGTGTTTGATTTATTTAAATATTTTAAACAAGTGTGAATACTGCCGCTGTAATACTATAAAAAAATAAGGATTATTTTGGATTTACAATGTTCATTGATTAATATAGAAGCCAGGATTACATCTGTAATTTTTAACAATGAAATCAAGATGTATTGAAATGTCGTGATATTTATATTGTTTTGTTGCATTATCTCGGTATGTTTGAAAACCTAGTGTTAAATTGAACTTTTAAAGTCTGATTCTCTATATTGTAGATAGATAGGCTGGAGTAAGCACGATTTAATTCGAACAATAGCCTTTAAAATAACTTAACAGCACAACATAAAGTGATTATTACACAACCTGGAACCGGTACTATTTCAACTATTTGAACTAGCATATAGCTTTGATCGATTTAATTGATTCTGCTATACGGATATTTAAGAGTTGGTATTGAATGGATAGATTTATGTAGAGACAATCGTAGAGGATGTTGATCATGAGACTTATCTTTCTCTGTTGCTGGAATGATATTTAATTGGATAATTTGATAGAAAAGTATAGTAATTTTGTTTTTATAAAGTAGTTACACTATGTAAAGGCCAATAAGACATCTATTGACGTCTTCTGTAAGTAAACAAAGTTGATTGTGTCCCGTCGATGTTGTCTAAGTTTTGAATTGGAAATAATTAAACTGCAACAATGTATCAAATTGTTGATATGCTTTTTGTTAATCTATTCAAAGTGACAAGAATGAGATCAAAGGGTTTTTACATGTATTATATCCACTATCCGATTCAGAGATTAACACTGTTTCAATTTGACTTTGAAGTAACTTCCATTTGGAGTCACTCCATTCCATGTTATAAGATAAAGCATATTAATTGTAGTAAAGCTATGATGCAATATGTTTGCTCTAATTGGCCTATACCTACGCTAGTACAGTACATCACCTCTTGAATACTTCTATAAGCTACTAAACCATTAATCCCCCTGATTAAAAGATTAAACTATTGCGTAAACATCTAATTTCCTTATTCGAATACATAAAAACGTAGATTTAAATAAATCATGATATCAGAAAATAGAAAGCACTCCAGAAAATTTTAGTTAAAAATTGAATACTATATAAAATTAGATGTAAAAATTATTGTAGTATCGTGTTTCCTCAACATTCATTCAAATTTCATCAATTACATAAACATAAAGCTATATTGTTTGTATTGCCAAATTGGGCAACAGTTGGCGTATTTAATTCTTAATTAATGATCACCGTAAAATTGATATCATTGATAGATTGAACGCTAGCGATATAAATAGAACTAGGTGATCTCAATAAGTAACTGCACGTGCGACTTGCCTTCTATATAGCATAATTTCGTTATTATTGGCTGTGAGTATAAGTAAGCAATTGTATGACAATAGATAAGAATGAATGAAAGCATAGATAGTATTATCTATACTTGTTATAAGAATAATTGTAACTGCTGTTAACTAAAAAAAAAATTGGCTTCAACATCATAATTAATAATAACATGCTACTGATATGTCATGTAACTGTTGCTAAAGGAAAAATGGTGGCTAAAGAAGTATAGTATTTCTTTTTGAATTTATTATTAAAAAATGATATAACTTTCATTTAATACTAATTGGATAATAAGCTAAACCTTCAACTGCAATTAGATGATTTAAAATCAGATTGTAGAATCTATTAAATAAGGAGGAATATTTTACAATTCAAAATAAATCTTTAATGATTGAATAGCATAGATTATAATTGTTCATGAAAGGAAACACAAAACAAATACTAGAAAGGGATCTGATAGTAATCTTGATAAAGAAACGAAGGGCTACTTTTAATAATTTTTTTACACGATAACAAGAAGATATACATTCGATTACTAGTAAGATTGTAGAGAATAACTTTATCGGTAAATCAAGATGGATTTGTATGAATATTCATGTAAGAGCTTTATATTAAGTTTGAATTTATGGAAAGATGATATCTACCAAGGATTTATCATTGAATGAGGGCCGTCATGAATGAAATAATTTGATATGCTGTATTATTATAATAAAGAGAAATTTAATCTGACGGATTCAAATAGAGACTTTGATCTGCTTTTTATATTGTTACTTGATTCAAAGATCTTATTGCTATTAACAATGATGAATAACAAGTATTTCTAGATATAATTTAGGTTATTATTAATCTTGACTATGTTGCTAAGAGATCGATAAATTAAAGTCTGATGTAGAATATCATATCATTTATGGCTTTTTGCTTATTCAGAAGATCATTAGTGAATTAAATTATGGGACTTTGCATGAGTTTGACATATGATTTAATTCCTTAAAGATTTAATACAATCAGTCTGAATTTGCCATCTGTAATATAATTCGATCTGAGTAACCAACTTTAGATGTCATAGAAGAATGCTTTGCATGGCATATACAGCTTTGATGTAAATTTCTGATGAGAATATTTTAACATTGAGCTGCTTAAGCTATTCATTGATATCTAATATGCTATCTTGCTTGGAAATAAGTACGTAGTTTTCGGACAGATTTCATATTTCACTACAACTTGGCTATTCTCTTCAATTCTTAATTAGTAGTATACTACAAATACATAGTTTGAAGTGATATCTGCATGCCTATTTCAAGGTATAGCATCAGAATTTGGAATAGTTATCCATTATTATATATGCTCGCATAAGATATAATACGTATATCTCACTCAAACTAATTAACTTACTGCATCAGTGACATTTTAACCTAAGCTATCGCTTTAGCTCAAGAATCTGAAGTTATATGATTACTAGCTTGAATCCTTTTCTTTCATTGTATGTAATATCAGTAGTACAATGAAATTAGAGCCATATTCTCTCTTTCATTTATAGCAATAGCATAGTAGTTTTAATAAGGCCAAAGGTAACGAACTCAGAATATCTTGTAGCTTGTTAGAGCTATGTAGTGACCTCAAAAATCTTTCTATCTTGCAATGCGAGGCGTGATTAATTTGAAAACAATAGTATTTACTTATTTGTTTCTTTAAACAGTCTCATAATTATTATGGCATTGTTCATAGTATCATGTGATGAAACAATTTTATTGCATGATATAATTGAATAAATATCTTTTAAACTAATGCCACCCCTATTTTAAATTAAAATAGAAGCTATCAATCACAAATAAATAAACTATTGGTCGTTCCAACATTTATGATATACGATTATACCGTAGCTTCAATTTCTTCCTTTGCAAGCAAAATTCTAATTAGTCATGTTAAAAAAAGGAATATTAATTCTTTTGATTCTTCGAATAAGTATTGCCGTATCTAATGATGAATGATAATTATACCTAGCTTCGTTGAAATTATTTTTACAATCTAAACAGATAGCTACTTGAGCAGACATTAAAGTTTTCTTGCACATCTTGCAAGGCCCTATCAACATCAGACGTTGCAAATGTTGCATTCTCTAACATACTTACTAACTATTACTTACTCTGGCAATGAAATAAATTCGTAGCAGATTATTTCATTCCGTAGACATTGTCTTGTACACTATTTGAGTTATGTTTCATAACTTTGGCCAGCCTATTTTATAATCAGGTGTTGCATTTAATGCATTGAGCAAAGCAAAATCTATATTTATTTATGCCATCTCTATTAGCAACCATGAAATATTGTGTATTTTCCTTTTGAAAATAAATTAAGCTGTAGTATACTATCCTGATTTTATTTAATTATGTAAGTGATCAACACTAGAGCTGTTGCAGCAATTAAATCGAATAGCTGCTTATTTGATCATAATTAGTCTAGACTTCAAAGAATACGTGGACAGTGTTTCTGCAATTTAATTTAGTTTCAATTTATTAAGCTCAATTATTTTACAAGAAGGGAATATAATATCAAGTTGTTTCATTATTGGATGTTTCTTAGAGCGATAATTCCAATCCTTTCTTTCAGATGTCCATTAAATTTTTTTTAATCGAATCGCTATTAAATATGCAGTATATTATCGTTTTATATAATTACTTATACCCTTAATAGCGAATTATTAAGCGATCAAAAATTTCATTTGCTGGATAAGGTATGAGTTTAGAATATAGCTGCACGCCAGTTAAAGTGCTGCTATAGCAGGAAAAATAATGATTACTAATACAACTTGAAAAATCAATCCAATTCATTCCAGCCTATTAGTAAGTAAACAGAAACTTATTACTGGATAAATCTTCGTGAAATCGCCATAAAATTGCAATGATAAATATCGTAACAGCTGCCAATAGAGGTGACAAATAACTATTAGACATTTAACATCGTTGAATTAAATAATAGAATTATTCAAGTAAATCTTGACAAATTAGTATTATTTCAAATACTAACGGTTATCATTTACTCCATAACCCATCTGTTACGTAGTTACTTTTCTCCTTATAACTAATCATTGTTAATCTTATTCGTCTCGACACCGTGTGATCATGACCGTTATTGTTAATTGTTGGTTATGTTAATGTA